TATTAACCTTAATTACCAAATGGCTGGCTTTATATATCCACTTTACTCATATTTTCAAAACAGTTTAAATTAAATTCAGTCAATTATATAGCACCAAATCACGACAAGAGTCATCTCAAGTTGATTCAGCGGTCTCTGGTAGGAATGAATGCCTTATAAGATTGTACTCCGAGGAAAGAAAGCTCAGAAGCTCCTGTTTCAGCCGGAGGAGAAAGTAGCTTCAGACAACAGGATTTGGAGTCTTATTTCTTGATATTTGGCCATTTCACCTCTGATTGGATAACAGCAACACGTCTCTACCACTGACTCCATTTATTTTGCAACGTTGATGTTTTATCTCAACAAATAACACAAGCCTGGAGGAGTTCTGCTATGTGGTGGAATTGCTAATGCTAAAGGTTAGCTTCTACTAGCCGAAAACTTATCTGCTGTTTCCTGGACACTAAACTAACAACAGCCTTCCCCGTCGTGAGTCAAGATGGGTGACTCCATGAATGTTAAATGACAGTGTGACATAGGTCGGTCAGGATTTCCTAATGTTAGAGTTTACCCGTCTATTTTTTATCAGAAGCTAATGCAGGAGATAGGTGTAGGAGACTTTTTTCACATTCAGCCTGCATGAAAAACTCAGTGACTGATTATAATCAGCAATACTAAGTAAACAATGGTTTCTTAGTGAACCTGCTCTTTAAAGGTGCAGTATGTAAGAATAATAGTGAGAAGTTTACAGTGAAAAAAATCCCAAAGAGTTTATTTCCGTCATTTAGGAAGGAAGGTTACACTGAAACATATTTCTTATCCAGCTAGCTGTGGGGATTGTCAGTTTTTCTCCTTTCAAAACAAAGGACGGAGGGATGTAACTAATGTTTACCACCAGTGAGTGTGGGGGTGCCGTGTCTCCTATGAGCTAAAACTGCAGCACTGACCATTTTAATTTGACGACGGCCGGCAAAAAGCTCCAGAGTTGTTTAAAGTAGTTGCAGTAACCAAAATTTACCACAGGATGTCATTTTTACTTCATTTCTACATAATGCACCTTTTAAAGCGCACTTTTAACAAAAGTTTTTCAGTATATAAAGCTGAAAATAGTTGAAGCTCACATTTTAGGAAGACTACATTATAGGAGTTCAAGCATGTTAAGTACTAAAAATAATGCTCGTTATTATTTAATATCAAATTTGTTGACGTTATGCCACTTTCAAATTTCGGACAGGAAAACAGAAAATAACTAATGCATTGTTTTGGAAAATTTCTAAATTTGTGACATGAAATTTCACAAAAATGTATTCTAGGAGACACAAACTGTACTAATTTCCGTATTTAAAAAAGAAAAATGAAAATCTGCGATCTATCACATAAAAATGTCACTGAAACTGTTGAAATATGAGCCTAGTCTTAGCAAACAGTGAATACGATCAGAAAATGATGACAGCACCTAAATAATAACAGTTAAAAAGGGAAAAAACTTGCTACATCTTCTGTATAATATTGACAATGCCTGAAATCATTATTCAACCACAGCTCTAAGACATCAATAAATAGTTTTAAAAGTTATCAAACAGTTTCTATGCGTCACTTATTTACTTAGAGGAAAGCAGCTTTTGAAATTCTCTCTACACCTACCTTTACAACAGGATTTGTCGCCACACCCTCCCACTTCTGAAATCCATTTATACCAAAACTGACCAGCAGCCCACCAACAGTCTGTGTGACTAACACTTACTCCACCAAATGAGTTTTGAAAGTTGCTGTAAAAACTGAAGAAGAAAAAATAACTGTAGAGGTGCCATTTTGGTCTCATAAAGGCACCTGTGAGGATTTTACAAATTGCTGCCAATAACCAGCTCGTGTGGAAAGGTTATTATATTTTAGCAGAGCGGTATCCATCCTGCAGGATGTTTATTGTCGCTATATCACAGGATGGCCCACACTCTCCTGGAGCAATGGCCAAAAAGAAATCAAAGACATTATTCTCCTGAGGTGGTGCATCTAACAACGACTCCTATATGATTCCAGCATTTCTTTCCTGTAATTAATTCATTTTGCATGAAAACGGCCAAAAAACTTTGGGTTCATGAAATAAGCACATTAGAAATAGAAAGAAAAAAACTTGCATTTTGGGGGTAAACCCCTTTAAACCTATAAAGAAAGTAGAGAAAAGACCAGTTTGAGTAAAAAATATTGTTTTATGTAAGCTGCAAATCCCCGCAGTCTGAATATAATGAATTAATTATCTGGATTTAATATTCAAGGCCTTAACTGAACAACCATTTAAAAACACAATACTTTTGACCAACAGAATAAAGAGAAACACAATAAAACAATGGGAAAAACACAAAAGCTATGAATGCTAACTGGCTGCTTTACTGGCTGATCTTTGCTTGTTAACAGAAATTTCTAAGAGGCTTTTAGTGTGACATGGCTGTTGACATTGCCAACTAAGCGACTGTGTTGTGACTTCTCAACCCCCCTCAATGATTTTTATTTCAAAAAGTGCCTAGCAACAAATATAGCAACAATTCTGAGGACCCTTAGCTACAGCAGATAAGCAACAGGCCGAGCCTGCTCTGCTTCAGAGCCTTCTATAGCAGGTCTGTGGCTGTGCTCGAGAACTATTTGGTGGTTTAACCCCCCCCCCCCCCAGTTTAACTTCTTGAAGCTGAGTGTAAAGCAGAGAGGCATTGGCTCTCATTGTTAAAGTCTTTGGTATGACCCAACTGAGATTTCAACCCCGATTTCCCAGAGCAGACACTCTACCACTGAGAAGGTATTTATGTTTATGTTCATTCATTTAACAGACGCTTTTATCCAAAGCAACGTACAATTTAGAACCTGTAGGGCATGTTGTGATCTGTGGGGTAAACCGGAGTACCCGGAGGAAACCCACACATGCATGCATGGGGAGAACACGCAACTCCACCCAGAAAGGCCGCAGCCGAGTTTCGAACCTGCAACCTTCGTTCTGCGAGGCAACAGTGCTAACCACTGCACCACCATGCAGCCCTATTTCAGTATTATTGTATCCTAATTTATCAATATTTAAAATTGCTTTGTTTTCCATCCAACTGGTTTAATTGTAGTTTTAGTTGTACCATAACATAGTTGTAACACTAAAACGAGTCACTGTCTAAAAGCCACATCGTAGAAGTGGGTCTTTAAACGAGATTTAAAAACAGCCAATGATGGAGCCCGTCACACTATAATGGGTAGAGAGTTCCACGGCTTTGGGGCAGCATGTACAAATGCTCATTCACCCCATGATTTGTAACGCATCCGGGGCGTGCAAAGCAGCAGGAGGTCAGCCGACCTCAACGTGCGCGTGGGCACATAGGGAGTGAGCAGTTCAGAGAAATAGGGAGGTGCCAGGTCGTTGAGTGCTTTAAAGACTAATGTCAATAGCTTAAACTGTACTTGGAAAATGACAGGGAGCCAGTGAAGACATGCCAGGACAAGGGTAATATGGCTACGTTGGTGCGTATATGTCAAGAGCCTGGCAGCAGCGCTCTGGACGACCTGCAGCCGATTCAGGGCAGAGACTGGAGCACCAACTTGGAGGGCGTTTGCATAGTCCAGACGAGAGGTAATGAAAGCATGGATGACTGACTCCAAATGCCTCCGCTTCAAAATTGGTTCGAGGCGAGTAAGGCGGCGAAGCTGATAAAAGCAAGACCTCACTACGGAGTTTATCCGTGGGGCCAGTTGTGTTTGAGAATGTTAATTATTCAATAACCTGCAAATTATTTTATGTGTCATAGGCTTATAGTCATGTCCTTGGTTTTATGGCCTTTAAGCTTATATCTGTGTTTTTAGTTTTTATGATTTTTGTGGTATTTTACTGTTCTATGCAAGTGTGAATGATGAGGTGGATGATGCTGAGCCCTGTTGAAAGACACATTTCTGTAACCGTTTGGTGTCAGACAGAGTTTGTCTATGCTGTTCTAACTCGGTGTTATCATGATTACCTAATGAAGTTGCCAGTGAGTGTATCTCAGACTGTTCCAGACATTCGTGATCAGTAGGAATGGTCTGGAGCAGTACTATTCTACACTTTCTGAAGGTCTTTCAGAATGTTTCTTCACCTTCACCTTTTTTGTTACTGATTCTGTCTTAAATTGAACAATTTTGTTTCCGCAAGCATCAGGTTTCTTCAACAGCCCACCCATCACACTAAACCAGTGTGAGAAGATGAGTGCATATAGATCAAATTGCCTCTAAAAACAACCATCTAGAAGTGTCAGATTTCTCTGTATCACCGAACATGGCTTTAAATGTACCCATCATCTTCTCTTTGCATCGTAATTGGTTCAGTCAGCAGGTGACGGCTGATATAGGCAGCGCTGTAGGGGTTGGAGGGCTGCTGGAGTTTTCCATCGATTCCAGCCAGGACTGTATAATTTCAGGTCAGACTGAGCAACATTTGTCCATGTATATGTTGTTAAAGTAATAGTCTGTAAGGAATTGGTATTGACTTGTGTTGGATGAGATGCTAGGCTCCCTGGATGCGTGATGTGAGCAGTAAAGGTGAAGTCCGAGGGGGCGTCCAGGTGGGAAGATGGACCTATAGCTGAAAAGGACATGGTAGCTTCTGGTTTGGGTGTAGAACTAGCTGAGTCACTGGCAATACACATCTTTTATTTTTCACAGAAATTGATTTTGGTCCAAGTACAAAAGGCTAATTTACATTTTGCCACACGATGCAAATTCCCTGTTAGAAAGTACTTTTACATTTTCGAATCAAAATGCTGCTGACTGGGCCTTGCAAACTGCAAGCAAAAAGCCTCCCGTGATAAGCATTTTCATTGTGCTGTTTTGTCTCTGATTTATAATTCATTTCATCCCTTCAGATCGTCGGATTGTTGCAGATTGTCACTCTTTGATACACGCATAGAGAGCTGAACAGCCGACAGCCGTCCTGACACATTTCAGGGAGCTTTTATTTTTGAGGACTTGAATATTTGAATAAACAGAAGCAGTGAGGAGCTCCTGAGTCCCAGACTTACCTGTGGGGGAGGGAGACCACCTGCGCCGGGCGGACAGTCGGGTAGCATGATCGTCCTTTCAGGAGAGGAGCACTGACAGGAAGGGGAGGGGTTAGACATGCTCCAGTTCCCACTGAGGAAGATGTCAAGGACTGACTGATCCACGGGAGGGGTGAACCAATCAGACCCACTGGAGGAACATGGTAACTTTCTGCATAAGAACAATGAGATTTTTTTTTAACAACAACTGACTTCTGCAAACAAGATGTATGGTTATGGGACATTTAAAGGAGCAATATGTAAGAGTTCTACAGTGAAATAACCACAAAACAAGACTGATGTCGATCTTGTTGGAAGTGTGGTTATACTGAAGCAGATTTAATTCTCAGCCGGCTGGAAGATTGTCAATCCCCCACCCCCCCCCCCACCCCCAAAAAAAAAAAAAAAAACAAACAAACAAAAGGGAAGTAGTTACTGTTTACAGTCAGTGAGTGTGAGGTTGCTGAGTCTAGCGCAAGCTAACTCTGCAGATTCGGCATAGGCAGTTTGAAACCAGCGGGCAAAAAGCTCCAGAGCTGTTTAAAGAACCAAAGCCAGTAAACAGGAGTGACCCAGAAGTTATTTCTTGTACCCCTAAGAAGCCATGACGTATTTTTGTTTAACTCTAATATCAGGAAAAGAAGGCTAGAAGCTAACATTGAGCTAACAATGCTAACAATGAATTAGAAGCAGATAGTCAGCTCAAAAAATATCTCAAGCTAATTTTTCAATTATCAACTCAGTGTTATAGTGAAATATACAGTATGTGTGAAGTGAATAATGAGTAAATAATGGTGTTTTACTTCCTTTACTAACATGTTCAGAACTATAACAGCAAGACGGCAAACTTCATTTCCTGTAATGCCAAAGGCATACTACCGCAATTAGTGTAGTAAGTGCTCTCTACCGTAAAAAAAAAAAAAAAACAGGAGCAATAATACCAGATATGACCATTTTTTTTACTCTATTTATCAACTTATTGCGTGTGACAATAAGTTGATATTTAAGTTGATCATTACTTGTCATCTAGAATCTTCCAGTGCTTATCTGTAACTGGCAACAGCCACAAAACTCATGAAATAGGAGTAAGAGAGAGATATTTTCGGTCCAAAAATTGACTGCAGTAACCACATTAACCACAAGATGCCATTCTTACATATTGCACCTTTAAATTTACTTTGAAAATAAAATGTGTAGTTTGAAGAAAGGCGTTCTTTAGATCAGAGGTTCCCAAAGTAAGGGTTGGAACTACATGGGGGACCTTAAGATGATTTGCAGAAATCCCAATAAATTTGAAAAACTATCTTCTTTTTCCTTATTTAACACAGTGAAGTAATTTGATGTTTCTGTACCTTCGGCTGACATATTTCGGCTTCCGCACATAAACAGAAGTGACGCCACAAACAACTGACGGCTCTGATGAAGGCGGAAGTTCCGGTCGAAACATGTCAGCCGAAGGTAAAGAAAATCTAATTACTACACTGTGTTAATTTAGAAAAAGGAGGTAATTATGAATCAACACACAGAACGAATATACAGAAGAAATTTGAAAAACAATTGCTGAAGCTTTATTTATAACATAAATGTCACAAAAACTATATGAGCTGGTACGTTTTCTTTTACGACATGAATAATTTAGCTTCTTAGGCATTTTGTAGAGATATTTAGGACTATTTTGTGTCTGAAACAGAAATGTTTGGGAACCACTGCTTTAGATGATGAAAAGTAGAAAACTTGGGGCAAAAACAATTAAGACAACATTTGATCTACAGAGGATGTGCTTAGAAATTAATTTCCCTGAAATAAGTCCAAGATATGAAGTTTTTCAATTTAGTTTGAGTTAAAAGTCTTATTTTTAAAATCCAACATGGTCATGCTGGCTGCAAATGTCATGGACCATCCCTGATTAACACATTACGATGTCATGACCAGAATATTAAATGAAAGTGGATGCAGCTCTAAAACAGCTTGTATTTGAACCCTAACCCTTCATTTATCTGGAGAACAAAAGCTGACACAAGGGACTGACTTGTGGCACATGTATGAAGTGTTTACGACTTACAGTATCGGATCTCCGTCCATGCACCGCGTCCCAAATCCAGGGTTGTTCACCAAAGTGTCCACCACCCTAGAAACCTCCATGTTCTCAGGCATATCGTTGCTGGAAATATTCGAAAGCAGTATTAGAGTTGATCCCAAAACATTCCTTTTTATATGGAATTCATGAAAAAATTATCGAGAAACCAAAAACAAAAATTCTAGGATCTATTCAGATCGGCTAGATCATTATTAATGACTCTGTGGTCTGAGTCCATAAATGTTTGATATTTGAATTTAAAATCAATCATTAACAAAATGGTGAAGCATTAATGCTATAATGCAGTTGATTGCCCAAAGTATCCAAACATATTTTAATTTCTTTATTACATGAAACCTTTACATTTTATCCTATAAAATAGCAGATTGAGAATAGAGCATCCTGCTTATTCATCAGACAAAATGATCAGATTTACACATGGCTTAAATGCATTTAGCACATTTATCATAACTGTGGTAAGTTGAATTATAATGGCATATGAAGGATCTGTGTGTGTGTGTGTCTAAAGATTAGAAGCTGCCCAGTAGACCCAGGATTTCATCAAAATAAACTCATCTGAATATAAATATGTTTTGTTTTTTTGCTTTTTTCTTTGCGATATGATTACCCTTGACTGCTCAGCACTAGCAAAAGAATTCAGAGTGAACAGATGTGTCCATTGATGGTTAACCTTGTGTTTCATCAGTTGGTTCTTTAATATTAATTAAACGCCCAGCATTCCTTGAAGAAATCACCTGTCATCTTTTAAAGTTTAGAAGTAAGATGGTTTTACGCTGAAATGATGAGAATGTCAGTTGTTTTGGTGAAATTTCATGTAATATTGAAGGGCTTTACATCCTGTGACTAGCAGCTTCTGATACAACTCCTTTAGCTGAGACTCTAGAAAACTGGACAGCGAATGTGGTGTTTCAACGGTGTTGACTAGCTGTGGTGGCCATCTTGAATCGGACTGACTCAAAGCATGTGCATAATTTTGGGGTAGGAGGGGGGGGGGGGGGGGGGGGGGGGCATTGTTTTTATTTTAATGAAGTAGCGACCAGACACCCTAAAGCCCCCTTCAGACAGACCATGAAAAACGGAAATGTTCCGGACTCTGTCCGTAAGACCTTTGTGTCTGAATACAAACATCCGGATAACGTGTTCCGGAATTTATCCGGACGAAGCCCCTAGTAACAGGTCCGGACTTGTTACGGACAGGGTGGCTGCTTCAGACTGGTGAGGTAAAGTTCCGGACAAGAGGGAGGGGGAGGAGGAGGGGACTGGGGGACGCTGTGCGCACCTAGATAGCCCGCTACTGTAGCATATAGCGAACCATGGCAGCTCGCCTCCTACGGTACCATCTAGACGCGCGACGGAGCGCTTCACACCGCTTCAGTGATTCCTTTAACCATTGAGCTTCATCATCCAGGTCTCTTATGCGTCTTCGTGTGCGCAGAATTATGCTTAAGCGCCTCATGATTTTTATCTTGAGAGGCGCTATAGAAATGATATTTTCTTCTTCTTCTTCTTCTTAACATGAGTCCGATTCTCTCTCCCCCCACCACCACCCCGCCGCCGTCAGACATCTGGAACTTTTCCCTGCTGTGTGAACGCAGCCGAGAGGACAAGTTCCGGTACAAAAGTGGTGTGTCTGAAAACACAGTTCCGGTTAAAAACCAGATTGAATTGTCCACAAATGTTCCAGAATGTCTATCTGAAAAGGGCTCAAGAGTTAATGTAAGATTTCACTCCTTGACCCATGACCCTGCACAAGCCTTTTGTGACCTCCCCCTACTTTTTAAATTAAAATTACTTAACTGCCTAAAAGGGTCAACAGTTGTAGATGTGAATCTTTTAATGGCACACTTGGCAGTTTTTAGCACCCCCTAACAGGGACCATTAGTGCACTGCAGCACCTTTATATTTAGCTATACTGATAGCTGATACCTCAACATGTGACTGTTTCTCTGCAGAGTTTCTGGGTTCTCCCTTAGAGATAGGGTGATAAGCTCGGTCATCCAGGAGGGGCTCGGAGTAGACCTGCTGCTCCTCCACATCAAGAGGAGCCAAGTGAGGTGGCTCGGGCATCTGATTAGAATGCCTTGGACGCCTCCCTGGTGAGGTTTTCCAGGCACGTCCAACCGAGTGGAGACCAAAGGACATGCTGGAGGGACTGTGTTTCTTGGCTGGTCAGGGAATGCCTCGGGATCTTTTGACAAATTCTGTAATGTTTTGCAATATTTTATTTTAAATTTGTTGAATTAATGTCTCTTGGTTTGTGCCACCACAAAGTCTAACGTAGGGGTTTTAAGTACTCACCTTTATGATGAAGGAACCAAGCTTACTGATGCTAACGAAGGAAAAAATAAAACCTCCACACATTTCTGTCTGTATGTTCTTATAGCTCCCTTTTACTGGGCCTTGTAACCCTGGTTCCACAAAGCACTATAAAACGTAACTGAATTAGAATTGTTATTAAATGTTAGACTTGTAAAAAGAACATAGCTCCTTAAAGTGATGTAGACTGTTTGGACTGGGTTTCTGTGTAAAGGTTATTAACATTTTCAATCAATCAATCAATGCTTTATTTATATATAGCGCCTTCCACAACCTTATTCGGGTGTCCAAGGCACTAGAACACATCATAGAAATACATACAATCATGGAAAGAGAAGTTAAAACACAGAAAATAAAACGTAGAGCATAAGGCAGAGGAACAAAATAATGAATAAAAGCCAGTTAACAAGAAATAAAACAGCAATTCACAACAAGGATTAAAAATAACATAAAAGCAAGCCGAGTTGAACTGTTGTAGATCAGGGGTGTCAAAATGCGGCCCGCGGGCCGGATTCGGCCCGCAAGCAGGTTAAATCCGGCCCGCGAGATGGTTGTGAAAACTTTATTTTCATACTTTACAATGTAGCGAAAATAAACTTATAATTGTGAGCAAGTTTTCTCTGTAATGAGTATAAATAAAACAAAACTGCGCTCAAGGCTCACACAAGAACTTGAATCACATCCTGAAGTTGGCCGCCACTCAGGATGTGACTTCTGATGTTGATGTGCTGGTGAAAGCTAAAAGATGTAAAGTAAAATGAGTCAAATATACTTTAAGTGCTGCATGAAACTGATCTAGCCATGTGATCTGTAAGCTCTTTGAATCACTAAGGAATGTTTTTTTTATTTGTTTATTTTTTTCAAATTTTCAAGTACACTTCAGGTGTTGTACTTGTACTACACTGTCCTCAGGCTCCAGCCTTGTTTTATATTGATTGTATTAAAACAAAGAAAACAATCTGAAGTTGTTTTTAATTTACCGGTCCGACCCACTTGGGACTAGATTTCCCTCAATGTGGCCCCTGAGCTAAAATGAGTTTGACACCCCTGGTTGTAGATGGTTTTGACTCAATAGATGTATTATATACAGTGAGGAGCAAATGCATTTGAACACCCCAAATTTTCCAACTTCTCTTAGAAATCATGGAGAGTCTGAAATTCCCATTGTAGGTGCATTCCCACTACGAGAAACAGCATTTAAAAACATTTCAGGAAATCACATTGTATGTTTTTTTTTAAAGAACTTTTCGTATTGCACTGCTGCACATGAGTATTTGAACACCTCAGTGCTACTAACGGGCCTTTGTTTGCAGTTACAGAGGTCAAATGTGTCCCGTTCTCGACCAGGTTTGCACACTGCAGCAGGGATTTTGGCCCACTCCTCCACACAGATCTCCTCTAGATCTGTCAGGTTTCGGGGTTGCCGCTGAGCAACACAGTTTTAGCTCCCTCCAAAGATTTTCTATTGGATTTATGTCTGGAGATTGGCTAGGCCAGGCCACTCCAGATGCTTCTAACAGAGCCACTCCTCAGTTATCCTGGCTGTGTGCTTCGGGACATTGTCATGTCGGAAGACCCAGCCATGACCCATCATCAGTGCTCTTACTGAAGGACGAAGGTTGCTTCTCAAAATCTCACAATACATAGCCCCATTCGTCCTCTCTTTAAAACAGTGCAGTCATCCTGTCCCCTTGGCAGAAAAGCACCCCTAAATCATGATGTCTCCATCACCATGCTTCACAGTAGGCATGGTGTTCCTAGGATGCAACTCATCCATCTTTTTCAGTGAGTGGATTTTGGGTCTCCTCTGACCACGTGACTTTCTACCATGCCTCCTTTGGATCATCCAGAAGTTCATTGCCAAACTTCACATGGGCCTGGACATGGCTTATGTCAGGCTTATGATGACAGGGACCTTTGAAACTCAGGTCCCATGTCATTGACCAGCTCCCCCTGCGTAGTTCTAGGTTGAGCATTTGATTTTTTTTAATAGAATTTTTTTCATCACCAATGTTAAAAAAAAGCTAATGCATGCAACAGGGGTAGAAGACTGTTTTCACATTCAACTTGCATGTCAAACTCAGACTAACTGACTATTAAAAAAAACGATTCTCAGTGAACTTGCGCTTTAAAAAGGTTAGAACTTGGTAATCATGATTTTAGTCCATTTTTATCTTTGCCAGCAGCTTTGGCTGTAACTGACACCAAGCTGAGGCCAATGATAGGACAGAATCCAGAGTGATGAGCTCAGCAACATGAAAACATCCTGATAATACACAGAGAACAGGTATATGAGCTCTTTTTGCTTCCTGTCTTTGAGCCTTACCTTTGGCTAAGGATTACAGTTTGTTGTTCACGATCTATATCCACATTTTCCCTATTAAATTATGTAAAGATAGTTCCACTTCAAAACACCAAAAATCATTTATTAGAAAATATCTCCTTTTCAGATTTCAGTTTTGAGTAATTACTAGTGTTTTCACATCGTTGTGCTGTAACTTCAGACTAACATGGACACAAATGAGGTTTTTATCAAACATGAAAACAAATCCTTGATGAATCTGATCAAAATCAAATGTTTTCATGGAAATCAGCCCTGTGACATGTCCTTACCTATAGAAGGTGTTTTGAGGCAGCCCGTACATCCATGGCTGCAGCTCCAGACTTGGGAAGCTGCCGATTGGTGGGACGATGAGGGAGAAGATCAGAGACAGACAGACGAAAAAGGCAGGCAGGACCACCTGGGAGGAGAGGGAACCATTACAAGTGGAAGGATCTCATTAAAGTGTCGCTGCAGGAAGACGTTTATCCTGCACCAACTGAAACTGATTTGAATGAAAATGTTAAAGTAATTAAAAGGAGAAAATGCCTTCAACAGGAAAATAGGTGTAATAGTAGCTACGTTTATAGGCGCCAAATGTTCCCTATCCATTTCAAATCTTCAGAAGTCCCAAATCTCCATTTACGTGGACACTAACTGAAATGATCCGATCATGCGGTGAGTATACTGTACATGCACCGAGCATTCAATCAGATTAAATGGACTGAGCATGTGCAGAGCTGTCTTTCCAGTAAAAAAATTGGAAACAAACGTCATCTTGTCCGCATGTCTTTTTCCTCACTTTTTCTTATTTTCTAGCTTTGTCCGTTGACTAACCTTTGTTTCTCCCAATACGGACCACTTCTGTTTACCTCCCGCCATGCTTTCAGCTTGTCCTGAGTGAGCTGAAGCTGCACACATGCGCAGTGGGCATTATCTTACTCCAAGAATCAGAATGGGTGTGTACACGGACGTCAATCAGAATGATGATTGGACCAAACCACCTCTCTCGATCGGAATGAAATTTCATTCCAGTCGGGCCATAACGCATCAGAATGTTCCAGTTGACACGTTTACATGAAGAATTTTTTATCTGATGGGGCGTTCGGTCCTATTGCTTGTGCCCATGTAAACGTAGCTGTATGAACTAAATGTGTAAAAGTAAAATTACAGTGGTATAAATGTTTATAAGTCCGTGCTAATACAAAATATTATATTATTTTTGGCGAAACAAAGCTATTAGGATTCTACACATCCACTTTGGTTTTACTATTAAGGGGAAAAAATCCCTCCAAACAGTCACAGAATTGTCTGGAATCATCTTCAGTCATTTCTCAACTGCTTCTCATTTAACATTCCACAAATCATAAAATACAAGAACTAAGAGGCATTTCTAAACCCCTTTTCAAGGGGAAATTGCAAACAAATTCGAGAACTTTTTGACTAAACTGAAACAAAGAAAATCTGTTCAATGGTTGCATGATTGTTTGTAATGGGCCATGTATAAATCTAAAGTGTGATACATGGCATTTAAGTAGGAAATTAACAGGAAATCATCAAATTTTACTTGGAATTTTTTTTGTCCCAACTAGTTGTCAAAAGTCACACCCAGAACTGTATATATTAAACATATCTACCAGTAAGATATGTAAGGTATTAAAGGCCTCAGTGTGATTTAACCAATTGCAAACCCTAGGAACCTTTTGCTGATAAATACTAAATGTGGCTGCAGTGGTCAAATCTTGTAAATGGTGTTTATTAAATATCTAGTTCACATATAGTTTAATACATTTTCAGTGGTCTCTAGTAGAAAATAATGCCTTGTAAGTCATTCTCTGGGGTAAAAGAGCTCCGGTGTGCCTGTTTGATGAAGAAGTCATCCGGAGGAGCAAGTAGCGTCAGACGGCAGAATTTGGAGACTTGTTTCCTGATATTTGGACATCTTGGCTTTGATTGGCTAACAGCAACACGACTCTACCACTGACTGCTTTGCAACATTGATGTTTTATCTCCATAAATAACACAAGTCTGAAGGAGTTCTGCTGTGTGGTGGAGTTGCTAATGCTAACGGTTAGCTTCTACTAACTTAGATGTTCTCTGCTGTTTCCTGGATGCTAAACCAACAAAGCCTTCCCCGTCATGAGTCAAGACGAGTGAGTCCATGAATGTAATTGACCATGTGACATAGATCTGTCAGGATTTTCTAATCCTAGAGTTTCACCATCTATTTTATGTCAGAACCTAATGCAGAAGATAGGTGTAGGAAACTATTTTCATGTTCTGCTTGCATGAAAAACTCTAAGTGACCAATAATTCTCAAAAATGAAAAGTAAAAAATGGATTCTCTGTGAACATTTTCATACTTTCATTATAGTTTGTGGGGATGTTGTGTATTAGATCAACTTTGGTTATTTTTCACCTGCTTTATGAATAGCCTTAAAAGTGTTGTTCACGGAGAAACTGTGTAATACTTGTTCAATCTCGGAGAGCCGGGATCAAACCTGTAACCTTCCAAATATTGCACAACCCTTTCCACCTCCTGAGCTACCGCTGTCCCTTTATGTTCACATCATAAATGTTAATGAGTAAGACTTGTCATTTTCTATCAACCACTCCTCCGACACCACTTCTATCCCCTGAAGCAGGAGCGTGAGAACGTTTTCCACCAAAAAACTATTCATATTGACAATCACAGCACATTAATTGAAATTAAAAGTTGAATGAGACCTGTATTTGAGTTTTGATCAAAACGTAAATATCCCAATCTGCACAATCTCACCAAATAACACAATATCTAGCGCACTGTTCAGACTCAAGGTGTGTTTTGTAAACGACTCAGCTCTTGTAACACCAAAGGTTACCCCAATATCTGTGAATTTGACATGTTAGAGTCATTACTGCATATGACAGTTCATGGATTACTTTCTAAACGTTTCATTAAAATTCATCCCATTCACAAGATATTTTACTAACCATCATACACACAGACAGACAAAACAGAAAACTCTACTAATTACACAGCTGCATGAATAAATCCAAATATTAGTGTAAAATTTGTGTTTCTTTGCAATGTTTTAGATTTTCTCCCAAAAGCAAAGCAACATAAAACTTAAACTACGGTACCTTTACATTTGGTCAGAAGGAGTTGTCTGGACTCATGTTACAACGTGATACAGTCATAGAAACTCAGCTCCTTGAAATGGGGGGAAGCTATCTTCACTTTGTGTCTAAACACAAATACAAACACGTGTTTACATGTGTCAACATTCCCACAAACCAACAACAAGATATCACTTTCATTACTCTCTCCCAGAGCCCACCCTCGCCACAACGCACTGCCATTACGTGCAACAAAATGCAAAAGCGGCTGATGCAATTAACAAAAACACAGGACCAACGCAATAACACACGCACATTAATATGCTCCCCGCCAACTTGTTTTGAGCTCCTCTGCATGCTTTATGAGTTTGATTAAACACTTCCGACACAACCACCGTCATCTGGCCACTCAGATATAATTAGGTTCTCGCCTTTCTCTGTTCTCTTGTTATTTAACACACAAAACACAACAACAACCAAAAAGACACTCATCCCCAACCTTTTTTTCCTATCCACTTATTTTCATGTAATTCTCTTTTCATTGCATTGCTAGAGCTGACAAAAAGGTCACAGGAACAAATATAAAAAAATAGGACAATATCTTTCTTTTTTAATCAGTCATAGGGTGCGCCACATTGTGCAGCTAAAACAGGAGGTTTGCAACAGCTGCGATTTGCAAAGTCAATTTAAGTTGCCACAATCAGAAATCCTGAATTTACTTCTCAGGGCTGAATGGTTGTGGAAGTGTGCAGGAAGGGGTAAAGATAAAGAGCAGGAGTAAGAATGCAACTCTTAACAGAAATCCACAAAACAAAAGAGCTTTTTGGTTCTGTTGCCCTGCCCCTTTTTTCCTCCTGTCTGCTTTTCTCTACAGTAACTGCAGGTGACAGCTGGTGCGTCTGCCGCTGAATGAAATTGGGGAGCAAAAACATAACAGAGTCATTATGCTCCTAAAGTCAAAGCAATAATGCAGGAGTTTAGTGGAAACTTAATTCTAACCAGCTCAGTGGCAAAGTGGTAGAGCGTCTGTCCTGGGACTGAGAAATCAGGGTTCAGATCCCCATTGGGTCGTACCAAAGGCTTTAACAATGGGACCCAATGCCTCCCTGCTTGACACTCAACTTTAAGGGTTGGTTTGGGGGATTAAACCACCTATTTGTTCCCGACCACAGCCACTGCTGCAGCTCACAGCTCTCCATGGGGATTGTTCAAATACAGAAGACAATTTCCACCACACACCAGTGTGTGTGTGTGTGTGTGTGTGTGTGTGTGTGTGTGTGTGTGTGTGACAACTGTGGGACTTTAACTTTAAACCAAAGGGTTGGATTAATTGAACATGACTTAAGATTCCTACAAAGTTCCCACAAAGATAGTGATGATGATGGTAGGCTGCACAAACCCTTCTCCAGCACGTCCCAAAGATTCTCAATGGGGTTAAATAACGTGTTGCCAGCTGAAAGTAACTATCCAATAGGAGGCTTCTATACCTATTTGCTTAGTTACTTCTTTTTGGCCAGGCTGTGTGAAAACAATGACAAAAGCTTAGAAAACATTCAAAAGAATAAAATAAAATAATTCTTAATTGGAATGAAAATAACTAAAAAAAAAAAAGGGAACCACATAACCATATCTGAATTTATTACTATCTAATCCTGACCCAATAGGAATGCAGATATGTAGCGGTTAATAAAAGCCAAATAAGGAGCTTCTTAAGGCAAAAAATGATGGGAGCCTCAAACACTAAAGGCTGTTGGTAGATCCCAAAACCCCTCGGAAGTTCAAAGGTCATGTTTTGCTTATGCCATACATTTGATATCACTGTTTGATGTCACATATGAAGTTGTGCCTCTCCACTGCCAGGATTAAAGCCATGAAAAACACACTCTTGCTCATCTCGAAAGATAACCCGTTAGACCACATGTATTGACGAAATCTACATTGATAGGAAATCACATCTCTGCATTAGTCTTTTATTTTGAAAATTACCAGGCGTTTTATACTGATACCATGTGTTATTTCAGGTCTAGCATTGTGTGGTATTCTTCATTTTGTACTTGTGTGTGGAAATGTTCCTACATATAAGAAAAGCTCAGACTATGCGTACGAACAGCATCTAGTGGTAGAATGGGAGAACCTCATTACTGACGGTCTCAGCTCTTCAATACATTTTCCCCGTCCACAGACTATTTTACCAAATAAGTAATTAAACAGTTGTGTCACATAACTGGCGCAAAAGCATACAAGATACCTGTGACTGACTGGAATCTGACACTGTAGAATGGCTGATTTTGTGTTATTGAGGATTTGGCAGAGAGGGCACGCTAGACTAAACACGTCCTCCACGAGCGCCGTGATCTGATTCCTGAAGAAGATCTTTCTGGAGCTCTGCTGTGACTTGAGATCCATTGTGGAGCGACAGATAAACCACACAAATCCGATTCCAGTTCATATTCTATTTTACAACTACAAGAACCCCAATCATACATGCTGCGTTGCCAAGGTAGCCAGACTGATTGAAAGCTCAGGAAGGAAGGAAAGAAAGAAAGAAAGAAAGAAAGAAAGAAAGAAAGTACTTAGTGCCTAGCAAGTCATCCCCTACAATTTATTTACTTCACTCCCACTTGATGTTTGAAAAACGCAACAAATGTTGTTGTCTGGCAGACCGAATGGGCGGAGCTGCTAACAAATGCACGCACACAGCCTCACAACAGCATTGTGACATCATAATGTACCAGCTAACTTCTTTGCCAATAGCAATAGCAGATTTAAATAAAAATGCAGTGCAGAGATTTTACCTGACGACGGCGCAACACTGACAGTTTTAGGCAGAATATTTTAATTTTAACTAAGATGCACTAAAGTGCAACATTATTGACTGCATGAGTCTACAGCAAGATTAGACACTCATTTATATGGTTTAGCCGCAAAAGTAAGTAGATTTGGAGGTGACTTGCTCTTTAAGATAAAAATAACGAGGTCCTTCCCCCCCAAAAAAAGAAGTTAAAGAATAAAAAAGATTTCAAAAACTGATAAAAAAAATGTTTAAAAAAGAGAGGAAAATAAATTGTGATGTAAAAAATAATAATATAAGGATAGAGAAAGAGTAAATGAATTGGAAAGAGGGAAATCAGTGGATCACAGGGAAACACCTGGGATTGCACAGGTGGGATTTATCATCAGATGAGTGAGGAGCGTGCGTACAAGAGGCCACCGCATGTTTCATAAATCAAGATTTTGACCATGTGTACGGACATTCTAAATTTCATTCATAGGCAGGAATTTAGGAATTTTTAGTATTTCTTGCATCACCTTTAAAATGTAAAAAAAAGCATTCAATATCACAATACAATACATTATATCGTTCATTACTATGAAATAGTTATGTGTCATTTCTTATCAGATGACATTGATAGTTATGAAAATGATAAAAGTTACATTTATCATTTTTTAACATCTGAAAAGGTCAAACAAAGACATTTACACACCCATGCACCTCTTTACCTGCTAAACAGCACGGGCTCATCCAGCAGCTGCATTACATCCCCAACATTATCCCGAACTGCCTTCCTACAACTTCCCAGGCCCATAAATCACTGCTTTTGTGTTTCCTGCCAGAATCATTTTTGATATTCTCATAAAAGCATACATTCAAAGAGATTACCACTCTACACAATCGTATTTACTGACAATAGGGGATGATAGATGGGGAGGGGGGAGGACCTTTAGCCAAAATTGGAAGAAGGCTTTGCAGACAATGTGCAACTTTGTACTCAGACATTCACACTTTCATTGTACCATCCTGCTGTGCATTCCCCAATAAAGAGCGACATCCAGGACTGACAGTGACTAATGGGGACTGGAACTGCAGCAAATTACAGGAGGAACCTACCAGAGGTGTCCTTTCTGTCCCATAATAGTTCCACAACACAGAGGAAGATGTTCAATATTAGTTATGATTATGCCAGCATCATGGAAGAAATGATAACTGATGTCATTACACGATATTAGGAACACAATATAAATATAGATGGAGGACAGTAAGTGTCACTACAGTGTCACATGTTTACACCTTGGTTGGTTAACTGAAATTGGTTTGGACTAGTGGACAGTATGTCTCCTTATTAGTTTTGACTTTTGAAATTATGTTTATGATGAACAAAATAATACAGACATACACCTAATGAGCTAATAGAAATGTGTCATCTGCATAATTGTTCATCAGAACACATGATTAGAAGTGTCACATCTTTTCTGTCTTTCTCTTCCCAGTGGTCAGGTGAGAGTTACAGTGAGGAATGAAATGCAACAAACGGAGCACTTTTCATCATTTGTCAGCAACTTTCTACTCTGGCTTTGCTCTATGTGTTGTAGTCTCAAAGGGCATGCTGAAAAATGTCTGCTCCATAAACCCACCCCACCTCACTTTGTGTCTCCAGAGCCTTTCCGTGCAGCACATGCCTCATAAAATGAAGATGGTTATTGCAGATGCAGCTTCTTGACATGGCGTTACATCATCCTGGATGCTGCTGTTCGTTCTTCAACAGTTTTTGTCGAGATTTCTGTTCGAACAACATAAACTATTGACTGCACCCAGATAGATGCTTCTCCCCCTGCAAGTTTAAACAATCTCACTCGATCACACGTGTCACTAAATGATTTTGGAGGCCAACATGTGTTATGCACAAACCTACGCTGATCCTCCCATGCAACCGTGCTAGTGGAACCCTTCAATTCATCAGTATGACAAACTGAGGCCATTACCTGGGCAATGAGTCCCTTGCGGCTCCTTCGGGCGTGGTGGAAGCGCTTGATGAAGAGCGCCAGGAACTGCCTTCTGATCAGTTTCCAGCCAGTGATGACCGCGGATCCTCTTCCATTGATGCTGGCCCTTTTCTTACAATCTGGCAAAGGGGCATTTAAAATTTGCAGTGTTATTTATCATCCATGCATCTATGTGAAGGATATGCTGAGCATGCTTCTTGGCGTCGCTAATGGTCTGATCAAAAATGGCCAACTGCTCTCACTCATTAATCAGTGCTGGGAATGTTTTAAGTTTTACATGGAAAATTGGAAAATACTACTTTAGGGGAACAAATGAAAAAAAATGTGGGAAGATGTGTGTTCTATGAACATTTTGGGTGTCTAGATTTAAGGTGATGGTTTGATGCGAGTTTCCATAGAAACCGTCTTAGCTGTTTAATGAAGCTCTTTGAACAATTTCAGTTCCCCGGAGGGACCGGTGGCACCAGTGTTCGGTAGCCTCGCCTCCATCAGTGGCAGGGCAGCTGTAGCTACAAAGTAGCTCATCATCACCGGTGTGTGACTTTGTGTGGGGGTGAATGACTCATGTGAAGCACTTTGGGGGGTTGTACAACCCTAGAAGACGCTTTATCAAATACAGGCCATTTATCATTTGAACAGATCAACAAACTGATAGACAGCAAGATAGAAGTTTCTGTCCTAAAAGTTTCATATGGTATTCACTAGTAGTTTGCTAATTTTACAAAACAAGGTAATTTTTGTAAAAATAATGAAATTCTAACAATAACTACCTCTACTACTAACTTTACCTGGTAGAAGGTGTATAACTATGTAGCATACTAAATCACCAAATAATTCATCAAAATGACCAGAAGTTAACTTTTAACTTACAGGCCACACTCGTATGGTCAGGCCACTGTGGCTCGTGGTACCGATACGAGTTTCTATGAACTTGGGTGAATGATGATGGGTTCACCTGAATGTTATTCCTGTAATGATTTATTTCAGATCTTAAACTACACCAGATTAGTATTAGTTGAATTTAAGATCTGAAATAAATCATTACAGGAAAAACATTCATGTGAGCCCATCATTCATTACTGTAGAGTATTGGACACATTATTAAAACACTTTGGATTTAAAGATATACAGTATTCAATTCAACCAAATATGATAAAACTTATAAAATTATAAAGTCATTTTATGAGCCAGGAAAGATAAACTTTAGTCAAAGAATTTGATAAAGTCTTCTTCTGCAGCATCTGTGATATACCACAGGATACGTTAAAGATATTGCACTCTCTTCAGTTCCGGAACTTAAGTGTTGCATTTTCCAAATATGTTATGAGTCTGACAACTGGCCCGACGCCGCCCCTTTCTGCGTGCTGCAGCCAGGTCCTTCTCAAGTACTTGGTCATTTGGTACGCTACAACTATAGGCATGATTTTTCATTTTCAAAATTTTGTACCGGTTTGGTGCAAGAGAGAAACAAGAAGCGGCCTTGGAATACGTTTGGATTCACATTTAACTAGTTCTATTAGTCATCTTTTAAATAGATTCAGCAGGGCTAAAATAAAGGCCCTTTGGCATTTCAAAACCAAAACATGACCCTTTGGGCTTTCCATACTTCCAACTCTCACTGGCCTGCAAGCACCTGTGGATCACCAGGACTATTCACAAAAAAAAGACAAGTTTACAAGCTCCCATGTGTCATATGAGCTATTCGTGTTCTGCTGTGGTGCAGAGAGCTTTAGATTAAGTATTTCTTCATTCATTTATTCTGTCCTGACAAATGGCAATATAAAAATGTGCATTTATATTATGATAAGAACAGTGATTTATTGCTCATTGTATTCTTCGTCTTATTGTTCACACACATGCCTGACTTCAGTATCATGATAATTTGTAAAACATAGCGTTAAACTCCATAGAGTTAACGCACAGTTTCAATTCAATCCAATTCAATTCAATTCAATTCAATTCAATTCAATTCAATAATACTTTATTAATCCCAGAGGGAAATTGATTGCTAGAGTAGTTCAGAATAATAATAGTCATCAAAGAGTTGTTGTATATTACAATGGCTGTTGGCAGGAAGGATCTCCAGTAGCGGTCAGTGTTGCAGCGAAACTGAAGAAGCCTCTGACTGAAGACACTCTTCCATTGTCGGACAGTCTTGTGAAGAGAATGCTCAGGGTTGTCCATCATTTTCTTGATTCTCTGGAGAATCCTTCCTTGCATAATCTCATCCAGTGGTTCCACAGTCGTCCCCAGAACAGAACCAGCGTTTTTTATTAGGCTGTTGAGCCTTTTCAGGGCCCTGCTTCTGATGCTGCTACCCCAACAGACGATGGCTGAAGAGATTACACTCTCAACAACAGACTTGTAGAAGACCTGCAGCATCTTGCTACAGACATTGAAGGACCTAAGCGTCCTCAAGAAGTGCAGTCTGCTGTGTCCCTTCTTGTAAATTACTTTGCTGTTCTTTCTCAAGTCCAGCCTGTTGTCCAGGTGAACTCAAAGGTATTTGTATTCCTCAACCACCTCCACTTCTTCTCCCATGATGGAAACAGTGTTTGACTCCACTTTGTTTCTTCTGAAGTCTAAAATCATCTCCTTCGTTTTGTTCATGTTCAAGGTCAGATGATTCTTTCCACACCATGCCACAAAGTGCTCCACCAGCTCTGTGATCTTCTTCATCCCTGACCAGACATCTCTGATATTGTTCCTCTGTAGTTTATTCTCCAGCTTCTTCCTGTATGCCTCCTTGCTGCATCTGATTTTTATCTTCAGTTGCTTCTGTATACTCCTCAATAATTCCCTGTCCCCCTCCTTGAAGGCTCTTTTTTTTTTCATTGAGCAGATTCTTCAGTTCACTGGTGATCCAGGGTTTGTTATTAGCAAAGCACCTCACTGTTCTGGTGGGTATGATGATGTCCACACAGAAGTTTATATAGTCAGTGACACATCCAGTCATGGCATTGATGTCCTCTACATATCCTTGGCAGAGTCATCCAATCTGTGGTCTCAAAACATCTCTGCAGGGTTTCTTCAGCATCCTGTGACCATTTTCTCACAGTTCTTCTTGTCACAGGTTGCCTCTGCACAGTGGTTTGTATTCTGAGCAGAGAAAAACAAGACTGTGATCTGATTGTCCCAGAGGAGGTCTTGTTTTGGATATGTATGCATTTTTTACATTTGCATAACACAAATCCAATATCTTGTTTTCTCAGGTGGAGCAGCTGACAAACTGTTGAAATGTTGGAAGTGTAGCAGAGAGTGAGGCATGATTGAAATCGTCAGATATAGCCACAAATGCATTGGGGTGCTGGGGTTGTAGCTTATGGCATCACATGCACTTTCAGCAATGGCTGAAGGTGGAATATAAACGGTTGCCAAGACAACACTGGTGAACTCTCTTGGCAAATAATATGGGTGACAACTTACTGCCAAGAGTTCAACATCTGGGCTGCAGAGACGACATTTCACTGAAACTAGAGGCAGTTTTACCATTAGGCAAAGGTCAGCGGTCACCTGGAGCCCCCTTGTGTTGGGGGTTCCCTTAGCCCTGACCGCTGGCACCCCTCTGTTAATGCCACAATGGACTATTCCTTTAATACGGCAATGCACAAACAGGGAGTGGCTGGTAGTCATTCCACTCCAATCCAGTTGGTGGCAGTAATGCACTAAATTGTTGTTTGCCAAGTGCCATAAGACCACAAATAAGAAGAAGAGAGGTGGGAGCATTCGTAACAAACTCGAAGCGGTAGTCAAAACATTAAGCATTAAATGGAGTTATCCTCGTGGCTCCAATAAGAGAAAGAAGCAGCTTGTTTTAAAAAAGCTTTTGAAGCTTTCACTTCAAAAAGTGACGTCGTTTTTCTATGTAAACATCAAAGGAAGCAGAAAAGGAAAGACAGTGGAAAATGTTTAAAGGGAGGAAAACATAGAACAAAATGGAAAATAGAAGAAAAAAAGAAAGGCAAAAGCACAGGAGCACTGACTGGATGAGGAAAGCAGAGCAAATATTGAAGGCACTCAAAGGGAGAGAAAGACAGGAAAAAAGGGAAGGACTAATAAAAACTGAAAATAACCCATGTCAAAAGAGGGAAGAGTTTCGCAAATTCAGTTAAAGATAAGATTGTCGACAATTTCGTGTAAGGGGGCCCCATGTCTGTGTTTGCCTTGGGCCCCCAAATTGCTAAATCTGCCACTGACCGAAACATGACCAGGATGGCACCATCTGTTGTTGACAAGCACTGCCACTCCACCTCCTTTTCTTTTCCCGCTCCTCTTCAGATCTCCGTCTGCTCGTACAGTCAGTAATCCTTGCAGAAAGACGCTAGAATCGGGGATATGGTCCTGCAGCCACGTCTCAGTGAAACACATAACACTGCACTGCCAATACTCTGGCTGAGTCCTTGAAAGGGCTTGGAGTTCATCCATCTTGTTGGCCAGTGATCTCATATTGCCCATTATGATCGATCTTGGAATCTGTGGTTCATAATCTTTCCACTTAACCCCAAGAAAGTGATTGTACAGGCAAGGACAAAGTCCAAAACGTACCTTCTACTTTCCTTGAAAACTTTTCCTTCAACTCTGCAAGAAAAACAAATTTTGATCAGAGAGAGCAACTAAGTTTATCCCATCATTTCTGTCCTGTCAACCACAGCCATAAACAAACTGCAATAAGAGAAGCACGTGCCACTGGTCCTGTTGAAGTGCTCCGTTTTAGAGCAGACATTGGCGATGCTGTTTCTCCTGGAATCACGGGAGCTTCTCTTCCAGTCCCTCACCAATGGCTCCTGTGTTGCTGTGGGAATACAAATAAGATATGTTGTTTTGGCCTGACCCAATGTGGGGATATAAATAACAATAAGAATAGCTCTCTGCCTCGCAAGATGCCATTTTATGCCATGTAAAAAGCATGAACTCCGGTGTTTTTCAGGCACTTGAATGGATTCAATAAACTGAAAGATGTCCTTTGGATTGAAACCAAATGTTGTAGAGCTGCTAACTGGTGGCTTATTTGCCGATGTTAGTCAGTTTGTCTCCATTTAGACCTAAAACATACAAGGAGTCTATAGAAAACCAGTAAACAAAAGTTATAATGGGTTTTTCTCCTCAATCCACCCAAAGTTTATTTTTCCTAAATTGCCTCTCATCTCACCTTTCTTTTACCTGTTTAACCTCAGCACTATTTAAGCCTCCAGTTTCCTTCCACTTCCTGTCACATCTTTTGTTTATCCTCCATTTATCTTCCTGACCCTAACCCCTAACCCTCCACAGGTTTGTTATCTCTTTGAAATACTTAGATTCTTCTGGTGTTTGGAGTTTTACTTTATTTTCTTCTAATGGTTTATTGCTCCAAAAGCCTGGAGTGTCAACCAATTAGCTGAACTTTCTTTAGAAAATGGGGTTATTTTTCAAATGATTTGTCTTCAGTTGTGTTCATGGGCTGTTTTCAAAATTACTTTAGTTGGAAATGATCTTGTAGAAATAGGTTATGATGTGTGGGTGAAAACAGCCTCTCAGTGTTAATATTTACTCTAGTGTTTATGAATAAATAACCAAAAATACCTTCATAAGTTTACTATAAATTATTTTCACAGCCATTTAGAATTACCTAAACTATTTGTCAATGGATGTACTTTTATGGACTAAACCTAAAAGCTAGTAACGGTTATTTTTTACATCTGTTCACTGGTAAAAAGGTTACCAACTTTAATACAACTAAATTTAATTAACTTCTTTCAGGCAAATCAGAATTGGACCTGAAAAAATGGCTTCAGCAACTATTAACCAAATGTTTGTTGGTTCCTGTAAGATACATACACAAAAACCTAAAACGTTTGATTGACTTAATAAGGCTTGTGATCGTGACGTCCGCCCTGTTGGAGGCATGTGAGTCCTTAGTTGTTGCATGTTATTACTGTAAACAGCACGTTCAGTCTCATTCTTGCAGCTTAAATTAATCTATTATTCAGTTGATCGGTTATATTACACAACTCTAGTAAATCATTGCTGTGTTGTGGGATGACACACGTGATCGCCAGGGGAATAAAGGTGGAGAACGAGCTAACTTTTCACCATTTTCCTGCTTAGAGGCAAAACCACAGAGACCAAGTATCTAGCGTAACAAAGTCTTGTCGACTCGCAGCTGTAAGGCGACCAAACATCACCTTCTGGAGTATTTTCATTCAGGTAAGTTACAGATGGTGTACAATTTTTATACATAGTTTCTTTCCTTCAACTGCGACATGCACACGAAACACACACACACAAACACACACACACACACGCCGGTAAGCTAATGCGGGTGCACTGACACACAACACAACTTCTCTCGCTACACTTCTTCTGTGGGATGACAATTTTGATTGTTTTACTTGAAAAACCAGCAAATAAAATGTTTACCTCTCATCTGGATGTTTACATCTGCTCACACCACAAACCAGAAAGCCAAAAATGTCCATTATGCAGAGCTGCTGCGACAACGATATGTCATCAGTGCTCCGGTCTTGGGTCTTTCATGTGGATAAAAAACATTTTTACTGCTGATTTTATCCACATATCAGTCCCAGGCGTCTTTATATAACTTATCCCTGTATATTCCACATCCTCTTTGGGATTTTATAATGTTGTTTAACAATTTCTTTCACCCAAATCCGCTTTTTCTCTGCGATAGTATTGTTTGTTTCACGGTGTGTTTGCACTCGTCAGCCTTCCAATGGCCAGGCGCATCCCAGAATGCTATGCGTAATCAATTCATACTAAGTTAAAGACCAAGTTCACATTCAGTGGTTTCTGGAACAAATGAATGCCTTGTGAGTTGATCTCTGTAGGAGAAAAGTTCTTGTTTGCCTGTTTCAGGAAGTTAGCCAGAGTAGAGCTAAGCTTCAGACAACAGGAGTTACATTCTTATTTCCTGATATTCAGACATCTCTCCTCTTATTGGCCAACAGCAACACAACTCTACCACTGACTCTGTTTGTTCTGCAACATTGATACTTTACTTCCACAAATAACAAAAGCCTGGACGAGTTTTGCCATGTTGTGGGGTTGCTAATGCTAACAGTTAGCTTCTACTAGCTGGGACCATCGACATACATATAGGCTGGGACGGGCTCTGCTGTTTCCTGGACGCTCAACCAACAACAGCGTTTCCCGTCACGAGCCAAGCTGGATGAGTCCATGAATGTTAAGTGACATTGTGACGTATATCTGAGTGGCCTTTTCTAATCCGAGCATTTTAGGTCTATTTTGGGGTTCAAGAATAATTTGATGTTTAGCTTAGCTAAACTTTTCTTCTTTTTCAACAACACACAAATATGAGTTACGTGTTATTTAGCGTAGACTTACTCAAGTTCTTTAAAACTGTCGGTTTTGAGGTCAGTTACTTGAAATGATTTCCAATTTCTTGTTAAAATAAACAAATACACACAAGTACTTTTACCCTAAAGTTGTGCAACACTTAGTCTTCTTCTTGTGTGGAATACCAACATGTTTGACTTTTTAAAATCTGCCTATTTCCTCATGAGAACCTAACTAGAGCCCATTTATAATCCTTTTAATATATGATTTGGAATATTTGTGACTACAATAGTTTGGTCAGGTCTGGTGGTTTTCAATGTGCAACAGAAGTAAATTTAACATTGATAATAAATATGTTACGAGTTTATTAAGTCCTGCCTTGACTGCATCATTTTCAAATTTTGGTACAAAAATTTACTGTTTCTAGTGTAAAAAAGAAAAGAGATTTAAAAAATAGTTTTTAGGGATTTAAAGTTCATTTAAACATAAATTAGTTGTTCTGTATTAAAAAAGTAATAAAACATGTAAACACTCTTACCTGGTAGTTCTGCATCCACCCCAGTGTCTTCAGCCACTTTAAGAAATATCTGCAAAATAAACAAAAAGTGCCTGAATTTTTAAATATGTATGAGTTCCATTTGTATGTTCTCCACTTGGTTACAAGCACAGAATGAGTGCAAGCTAATTATACTGCAGTACAAGAGTACAAACTGCTTTGTAGCTTTATTTTTATCACTTATTATAAACCAACAGACTTCTGCACAACTATCCTGCAGATGCCAGTGAGATCTGTGACGTTTCTGTTGAGAATCAGCTCATTTGGGCACAAATCTCCTCATGTTCGAACGCTTATTGAGTGGCAATTTATTATTTCATAGCTCACACACATAAAATGTTTATCTGAAGCCGTCATGTGGGAAAAGGAGCTGAACATGAGTGAATGTCACGTTTGTGGGAACGTTTTCTTTAAAATCCAGAGTGTGAAAACCTCTGAATGTTATTTAAGAAAAATGTACATGCTACTGATTTTATTTTGCTTGTATTTATGTAAAATCTCTAAATACATCACTGAAGCTTAAACAGCAGTGTATTCAGACTTCACATGAAAGCACGAGTAAAAAAAATACCTTGTCATGGTTGTTTTTTATTAATTTAAAGAGAGCATTTTCATTTCCCAGAGGCCCTGAGTCTTTCTGCACCAGTCAACCAACAGTCACGTTTAAAATCCCAGACTAGTGAGGGTGACGTCACACAGCATGAGTCACTTATAGACCTAAAAACATATATTTAGAGCAGAATGGTTTTATATTACTGAGTAAAATATATCTGGAAGCTTATAAGATCAGTTTTGTTTATAATAGTTTCGTTAGAATCCCAAAGACCGTCAACTGCAATAAATAAAGTTTACGATGATGCTTGGCTACTGTCAAAAACATTACTGTGATGATGATGCATCCACATCCTAGCAAACTATCCATCTACCTGAATAAATAAATAAAAATCCATGACAGCTATCTGATGCAAGCAGCTGAAATATGCAATATGTAAAACTTCAATTAAAACCACTTTACTGGGAAAGTGTCAAAACACTGTAGTTCCTGAGCAGTATTGAAGTTGACCTCAAGAGGTCATTCAGAAAACATTAATCTGTTTCCTCTGAAGTCAGTCTGGCCTTTACTTATGGTTCAGATGTAATGGCCAACTTCTGAGGATGCTTTCTGAAGCGTTAATATGTTAAAGAGGTAGTTCACATCTTATGAAGTTAGTTTCTCTGGAATGGTTGTGAGTAATTAATATGTCAGTTTACAAGCTAATGGTTAGTCACAATAGTAAAGGTCACTAAGTCATTTGTTTTTTGTTTTTTTTTTGGGTTTTTTTTTTGCCAACATTTTTGTTAAATTATTAAATTAATTCAAACATTTGTTAAAACACTTTATGTAACTTCTAATTTCACAAAAATTGAAGTTCTAGATGGTAACATGTTTGATTTACGAACAGCATCAGGCTACTTAGGTAGCAGATAGTAGCTTCTATTTCTGCTAACAAATAGCCAAATATTACTGGGTAACTAACAGTGTAACACAAATCTGACAACAGTGGAAAGGTTTATATGTTTTTATTTTCATAAAATGTTGGGTTTCATTTTCATTTTGACTTTTTTCTGTACAAAGCCTGGGGCACGCCGGACACAGATGTGCCGCGCCACAGAAGCGCCATGGTTTTGGGAAGTTTAGTTGTCACACAGGAAGAGCCGCACCGCTAAGCGCTTCTTGGAATGTCGCGCGAGACTTGATAACAGGAAGCGGAAAGTCACTCTTGTTTATACGTGATCAGACTTGCCGTTGTGTTTTGAGCGACTCTAATCCATCAATAATGGGTAAGCATGCCATTTATTAGAAAATTGTAAGATCAATAGTACTTTAAAGTGCGGTTGGGTTTGTGCCGTAAAGCCGTTCTGTGTTGTAATGTCTGTTGTAAAGCACTCCACAATGTTGTAAACAACCGCTGCGGAGCAGGAAATAGAACTGGCGCCTTGGCCCGGCATGGCGCTTCTGGGACGCGGCGCGGGTGCGGCATACCGCAGACTTAAATAAGTGTGAGATCTATAGTTCATGCAGTTCTCTGCGCAAAATCAATCTCATAAAAAACATTTTCAGCAGTTTAATTCTCTGTATTTTCAGCACCGTCGAGAAAGAAATTTCTGGGCTTTGTCGCACGGACTGTTTCGCTTCCATGTGCCTTGCACCCGGGAGTGTGGGGTGTGCGCGTGTGGCAGGGTGGAGAAACGAGGGCCCGGGCGGGATTCGATCCCCAGACTCCCGGGTGAGAGTAATGCGACCTAAGCAGTCAGCCAAAGGGACATCCCCATGGCCAAGTAGCCAGGACACATGATCAATCTGGTCACAGTGACAGGACGCTCACACTGTCACACGTGCATGGAACGGTACGCTGCTGCCGTGCGTCGTCCGGGACAGCAGAGGGAAGGGGCGGGGTGCACGTGGAACCTTTTGCTTCTGTGTGTCTCCCGTGAAAGCGGAGCTGGGCCAGGGAGTTTGTAGCTGTGGTGCTGGAGTTTCCGCAGTGGCGCAGTGCCACGCCTGAGCCTAGGGGAAGCACTGCTAGGATTACCAATACTAAATGAGTAATGTAAACATATTTATCACTCCAGATCCATCACAGTCAGTCCCTGTCGATCTCATTAAATATGTAAATGTTAATCTTACCCGGTAAAACATGTTCGCGGCAAATCTGAAAATACTTTGCGGGCTGCCATTCATCTGCGTCTTCTGTCTCCATCAATGTCATTTGATAGAAAGACAAGTTGAGTTTACAGCTTTGTCTGTTTGTTCAGAAAACTATTACAATTTTACTGTGAAATCAACTAAATAAAAGCAATATAAGGCTACAAACTGGCTTTTCTTTACTAGCTACAAACGTTTCAGCATGCATAAACATTTTCTCTGCTTTCCTTTATGACGAAGGGGGAGGTCCCGTAAGCGGTGTGACGTCAAGTGCAAAGGGTCATTAAGCTTTGAAGCTCAGATATCTGGTAGGGGCTCCGAGTAGCGCCGCTACTCCTCCAGCATCGACAGGTAATGAGGAGTTCAATGCTAATCTTCCTTATGATAATGTCACAATAAGGAACTTTTTGACTGACTTGCTTTAGGCATATCATTCCTAAAACCAAACACTGATAGCAAACAGATGGATGGAATTTTCTTTTTTTATGTTTGGAGTGTTTATAGAGGCAGTAGAGCAGGGCTATTCAAGTCCGGGCCTCGAGGGCCGGTATCCAGCACGTTTCAGTGGTTTCTCTGGTCCGACACACTAGATTCAGTGGTTGAGTCAACTGTGCAGCAGCTCATCAGGCCTGTTAATCACCAGCTGATTGAAATCAGGTGTGTTAAAGCAGGGTTAAAACTAAAACGTGCTGGATACTGGCCCTCGAGGCCTGGAATTGAATAGCCCTGCAGTAGAGGGTGCAAAAGTTGAGTTTTGTGTAATAAATCCCATTTAAAACATTCTAAGTTTTGATTTACATTTGCTGTCCAGAATATTTGACTTGTTAGCTGGTAAAATGAGAGACCATGCATTTTTCAGCTACGACAGCAAGTTTTAAGATCTAATTCACAACAGAACGCAGAAATGTAATCTAAGCGAGGGCCCTAGCGCTTATGAATACCAGACACTACTTCAGTGGCTCATATGAAAACATAAACTTGATAGCCTGGCAAGCCATGTGAATATTTTGTTTCGGCAAATGACGATCTAGATTCTAGGCTAGATACTTGAAGGATTCAGAAGAAATGGTAGCAGTGATCTTGAGTTAAGTCATTTGACGCAGCAGTGACCATATTAGTCCTTAAATAAAGCGATGCTTGCTGGGGTTGGAGAGGTGACATTGGGCAACATGCATTGGCAGGGTTTGGACTCTTTCCACTGTTCTAAAAAAGAATTAAGTGATTTTAATAGTTTAAAAGTAATTAAACTACCACTTTAAGAGATCAAATTAATTATTGGAAGAAATTCCAGCAATTCAGTGACAAAAACAGAATGTACAAGTCAAGAAAGCAAGCTGTTTGTAGCAACAATGTCATATTCTCTTTGATCTCAACAGGAAGTCCCTCTGTATGGTTGTGTGATTTTTTTCCCAGTGTTTACCTCCTCCAGCGTGGTGTCAGAGATACCGTAGCTGGTCAGGCCAAGGTCAGCCATGGCTAGGTCGAGCTTTTGGAAGAGGGCTGCAAAAGTCCCGTCTCTGGCTCCACTGTAGGGCAGTATGAACGTGATTTCCTGACCGATGCTCTCCAAAAAGACAGCCTCAGGGACGTGGCACCGCACAAGCTGAGCCACAGCTGTTAAATCTGCCTCACGGAAAGCCACAAAATTAATCAAACGACACAGTGCAGGATGGACAGCATGCACAGACACAAAGAACATCCCTCTTTCCCTTTAGCTTATTATCCTCTTTGATTAACTTGACTTTCTGCTTAGATTGCTCAAGAACAGCCAGCACAAATCCCTCCAAAAAAAAGAAAGAGGATTTGCCTTCAAACTTGGGGCTGGTTTGATACTTGCACACTAATCAACGCACAGGGATCACCAGACATACAGTATGTGACATTTAAAACATATGACACTGAAGCTCAGAGCTGTTCTGAAGCAGAGGCTTGGTGAGAGTCAATCAGCAGTGTTGCAGAACACATCCATTATTGATCCAGAACCTCTCATACATAATTACTGAAGCTTAACAACTACTGGTCCGGTACTTTATGAAGAAGTAAATGGATCTACTTTACACTTCAGAGTGAATCATTTTTTTGGGAAGCGATGTGTCGGAGTGTGCGTGTCGTGCTGCAGTCGGTTTGCTTTGAACTAATAAAGAAAAATGTGCAGTTTCATATAGAAATACATAGGAATATGGTAATTTTATGGTATAATGAAGCTTATTTTTCCATACCATCTAAAATGGTGCAAATTTATACTTTTTTTCTTGTATCATGAGTCAGAGACTGAGAGAAAGTTACTTTACACAGCATGTACTATACTCAAAGTCAGAAAGTAAAGTACTGCGTAGATCAAGGTGACCCAGATTACCACCATTCCTGAGAATTTGTTATAGTTTAAAATACCCTCACAAGTTAATGCATGATCAGACTATTCACAATGTTGTAACTAAATAAAAAAAAACTATAAAAATAAGTTAGGTTTAATGTTAACTTGAACACAGTCTTGATAATTCATAATCTCAGTACAGTTTTTTCCTAATTTTGTTTTATTTTATTTTTCTTATTTAACCCATAACAGATGGGTTGTCTTTAAAAAATGCCTTTTGGATGAATGGATGGATGAGCAATTAAAAAAAGAAGGACTTTATAAATCCAGACCAAGAACAAGATCGCTGTCAGATTTCATTCAGTTCAGTTAAATACTATTTAGTTAATTCATTTAACATACACTGACAATTTAATTCAGTTCAGTTATAATTTGACTTATTCCAGCTCAAATAATCAATTTAGATGCATTAATAATAAATTTCAATAGAATTTTGTCCATTTAAGTGGGAACATATGATAAATAATTTAATTGAATAACATTTCTTTTGCTGTAAATAAAATATCAGCAATGGGAAAAAACAGTTCAGGATATTTACAAGTGATACAGTATAACCCATGTCTGTCTTTTCTTATTTTAACATAAAAACACACTTAAAGAGACAATGTGTAGTTTTTACCATTAATCTCTGGAAATATCCATCAAAATGTTGTTGAAAATAAATTAAAGAAGCCCAGTTGTTGAAAAATATTGGCATCTTCGTAACACATAACCAAAAAAATCATGTCCAATACAAGGGAGCAGGTCCAAGTCTCTGGGTGGCGCCATATTTGGAGTCGGTGAGGACAAAATGCATTTACTGATTATTAATAATCACTTAAAAAACCTTCCCCATTCATAAACGTTTTACACATTTACCTCATTGCTCACTGCCAGTCATGAAAGAGAGTCTGATGTTCTTGTCATTTTGCTGGAGGTCGCGCTCCCAGGGATTTTTGACCCTAATGGCCATCCGTTGTGAAGGTCTTACTTACACTAAAGCACTGCTTGCTTGCAACGGTTTAATTATGTACTGCCCCATCACCAGGGAAAACACACACAGTAACTTTAAGATGTAATAATTGTGATCAAGATGCCAAAATGTTTGTAGAAAGATTATATGAGAAGTGTCAAAGTTCATAATGTAAAACGTCTTTATGTTGTTAGTTGACATGATGCTAATTGTGGTATGGGAGTATTTGAAGCTTGTACCTGTCAGATCTGAGTTGTCCCACGTGTGACTGCCAATGCCCTCATCCAGACTGTCCCTGCAAGGACAGTCTGTCTCCTGTTAATCAGAATTGGATTAGAAAGGCTTTATCATACCTTACCACTTAGAATAATGAACAAGGCCTCTCTGACGACTCCTGTCAAACATTAATCACATAACAGGCATCAACAAGTTTCCATTCAAATGTTTGAAATGAAGCTGCATGCATTGATCAATGATTGGTCAGTTTGGAAATCTGTCAACCTGTGACACTTTTTAAAGTGTAAAAATACACAAAGAGCTTTATTTATAGAGATAATTTGCATAGAAATGAGTTCATAATTATTGTTATTTTCTCAAATGCTTTTTTCTAAAAACATCATCTTTGACTGTAGGTGTAAACTGGCCTCTTCCATGTCTACATTAGTTTGCAAAATAATTTATTTAGTCTAAATAAGCATAGCTATCTGCAAATAGTATTGCTCCATCCCTGTAGTCTAAGAATTAGGGTAATATTTAATAATATTTGGCCCCTCCCATGAATGGTGAGCTCATGGAAAGGGGACCCATGTCTCCTCCTTGGTCTGTGCCTGGCTGGTAAAACGCCGGCCACCAGGCGCTCACCAACGTGCCCCAACTTCAGGCCTGGTTCCAAAGGGGGGCCTCAGTGACCCGCATTTGGGCGAGGAAACACTGTTTCCATTTAAGTTTGTCTTCATAAGGGGTCCATGGGCTGCGCTTTGTCTGATCCTTCACCTAGGACCCGTTTGCCATGGGTGACCCCGCCAGAGATATAAAGCCTCACACAACTTAGCTCCTAGGATCATTGGAACATCATTTTGTCAAACAACAAAAACTAAAATGAAAAGACAAATAAGTGCCTTGGAGTCTACTTTTCACTACATCACAATGTACTGTAGCTTCTGTCACAGATAAAGTGGTTCCATCAGATTACACTGAAGAGATGTGAAATGAATAATGGTTTAACTCATAATATTAAATTCTACATTTTTCATTAGACATTAAAAAGTTTAGAGGGATGTCTTTAAATCAGATGTTGACCAATGTAACACCTAATTTAAAAGCTAACTGAGCAGGGTTGAAAGGTGGGTTACAGAAATCTTAAAGCAGACTTATGTAATTAAAGAGAAATATATTTTAATAATTATATTTTAATAACTGTTCCTTTGAAAAAATTATGCACTTATTGATCCTAATTGGTACTGTTATAATACAGATCAGTAAACATAAATTTAGCCTACCATGTTGAAAGCATCTATGGAATACTTGAACAGTGGAAAAGTACTGACTGACTTTGACCAGTTATTCAAGAACAAACCACCCAACTAAATCTCTGCTAATCACACATGCCTACCGGTTGTGTCTCCTTAGCCTGGGTTTGTGTGACATTGCCCCGTTGAGCAGACATCTTCTCTGTTCCACTTCTGACCAGAGTGAGATAGTAGCCGCTGCCAAAACTCTTCTTCAGGAAGAGCGAGGAGCCGCAGCATCGCATCCTTCCATGGGAGATGATGGCAACGCGATCCCCCAAGATGTCTGCTTCGTCCATGTGGTGTGTTGACAAGATGATTGTTCGACCTGATGAGAGAAAGAGAAAAGATTTCCTCTGTAAAGACAAGAGATCAGTTTAACAATAAAACATCTGGAGCAGCATTTACATTTTTTTATTCCAACACGTGGTGTTTTTGTTTAGAAGAAGCCACACAGGACTCACGCGGACTCACTCAAATGAAGCCAATATCACAATCTGTCTCTGCATGTTAGTCACTTATCTTATTAGTGTCTATTCCGCTGTGTTCACTTTTTTTTTTCCAAGGCTTATGAGCATAGCAACAGAGCCAACTCAAGAAGAGCGTGTGGGCGGGAATCTGGGACAAAATTAAAATGATGATGAAGGCCATCCATAGCTCTGCTTTCCCACATTTCCCCAGGGCTGAATTTCACCCCAGCTCTAGTTTGTTTTGTCATTGTCTGAGCACTTTTATTCCAACGCCATAACACTGAATGCAATTTCAAAAACAAATGCAGCACGGATCGCAAAATTATTCACAGGTGCTCTAATCCTTTTATATCATGCTGTATCAGATAACACATTAATTATCACATACCCCAGAAAGCCAAAAAAAGAGAAAAAACCTAGTCAGACCCGTAATGAAGTCACAGCATGGTCCTGTCTCTGCAGCCTGCATGAGAGCCGGATCACAGAGGACGTTTGATCCAGGAAATGTTTCAGCGCAGAAAACATTTAACCTGCTACCTCTATCACAGGGGAAAAATCCCTAAAAGGTAACATCTTTCTCCATTTAGTCATCATTATTTAACATTGAGTGAGCCAAAAACATTAAATGATCCTTAAAGATGGATTTTAAGTTTGATTGTTATTAAATGAGCTGCATGGTGGTGCAGTGGTTAGCACTGTTGCCTCGCAGCACGAAGGTTGCAGGTTCGAAACTCGGCTGCAGCCTTTCTGCGTGGAGTTGCGTGTTCTCCCCATGCATGCGTGGGTTTCCTCCTGGTACTTCGGTTTCACCCACAGATCACAACACGCCCTATAGGTTATAAATTGTAAGTCGCTTTGGATTGAAGCGTCTGCTAAACGAATAAACATAACATAAACATAAATGGATTTTTTAACCAATTAGTAGAAAAATGTGTTGGTAATTGCCATGGATAGAAGCAATGTCACATATATTCCTGCTTCTTTAAATGGCCACTCCCCTTTTGGTGTAACAAATGGTGCAAAACCAGTGAAATTATCAACAGTGTCATGTATTGTTAAAAGGTCCTCATGCTATATGGAAGTACCTACATTATTACAAATGTATGAGGATTTGACCTGTTTCTGAGTCTTTTTACATCCTGTTATTGTTGATGAATAATATGAAACTACTAGCTAACCTGACATTAACGATGGAACATATCATTATTCCAACATAGGACACACAACCTAAGTAGTAAAAGCAAGCTCTTTCTTAATGTAATATTACACATCAGACCATTCAATGGCTTTGTGCATTCAATCAGATGAACTTTTGGTTTTAATTTTTACAGGGCGACAGTGGCACAGTGGGTTGCTGGTTTGAACCCCGACTTCATCAGTACCAGTTGGTGTGTCCTTCGGCAAGACACTTCACCCTCCTTGCCTGCTGTCTGTAGTCAGAGGAGCCAGTTGCACTGGTGTAGCTTATCACCCTCAGTGTGTGTAACTGTAGAGTAAAGTGATTTGGAGTCCTAACTCAAGAAAGCTCTATACAACTACAGGTCATTTATCATTAATTCATCAATAGCTTTTCTATGTAAAAGTGGCACATGGAGTAGTGGTCTTATCACCAAATGGTTTTCCTGACAAACAACGTTATTTGGTAACAAAAAAATGTCCAAAGGAGTTCCATTTACCACCAGGCAAAGTGTAGGAGCTACGTATTTTCACCCTAAAGGGGCCAAGGCCGTTGCACAAAAGCTTAAGACACGTTAGAACTGTGTGACACAATTCTTTGCACCCTGGTATTTATTCACCCTGTGCCATCAAGAGGTTTTCAGCTGTGTTGTAACATTAGAGAAGATGTGAAAAATGTTTCCATGTCAAACTGCAATTAGTTGGTTTGTAAAATTTCTAACTGATGGTCATTGGGAATGATAGGTATACTCTCCCAAACAGAACTAAGTGGTGCTCCACCACGCAGAAAATTTCCATTTATTCCAAACGTCCCACCTGCCCAACACATTCTCACACCCAAAGTGTCGAAAAATGACGCGTGTGACCAAGCGTCAAAATATGAAGATCAGGGGGCTCCAGCGCGTCGGCAGAGGACGCGCAGGGACACTCAGTACCAGAGCGTTGGTATCCGACGCCCGTGGTGAGACGGACATTTGACCGACTTGTGAACTACTTAACCTTCCCCTCACCCCCATTCTAACCTTAACCAGCTTGCGCATGCAAAGCTTAATTGAAAATCACTGAGTTAAGGTTAGGATGGGGGTGAGGGGAAGGTTAAATTGCTAAAAGTTTGAGGAATGATGTCCATGTCACCGCGGGTGTCAGTATCCGACGCCCGCAGTGACACGTGTCCCCGCATGTCCCTACGCGTCCTCTCCCTGCCTCGCTGAGGCACCCTGATCGTCATATTTTGACGCTTGGTCACACGCGTCATTTTTTGACGCTTTGGGTGTGAGAATGTGTTGACCTACCAAGTTTTCCGTTGCAAATTTCTACCCAGGTCATTGGATTTGTTCCAGGTTCTTTTAGTGGAAATAGTAAAGAAGGAATCCCAGAAAAAATCTGCTTCCTTGGAAAGGTTTCTGAGTGGAAATCCACTTTATGGAGCCAGATGCATTGCTCAAGTCCACCCAAACTGTTGCTGAAATGACCTTCGGGTCAAAGAATTTTTTCTCTATAGGAAGTCTGAAGCAGTCTACTGCTGCAGTTCTAAAAAATGACTTATCATTTCTGCCAGGATACACAGAAATGCTAAAAAATGATCAAACAGCACTATCTGCTTTACTTTTGATACACATGATTTTTAAAGATCTACCTTTGTCACCCACAGCGTCAAATCATGTGTTCGTGCCTTTACCGGTAGATCTAAGTATTGCAGGGGAGGGAGGGAGGAAGGGATGGATGGATGGATGGCTGGATGGATGGATAGATAACACTAAAGTGTTATTTCCACAATGGCTGAACATAATATCTGAGTCCCTGAGCTGCTTTTCCTCTAGAATCTACAGCAAAGAAAACACCTTTATACCTGCAAGATATCACCTCACTAAATTTAGCACAAACACGAGTTTTCGCCCATTCTTCGCCGTCGGGGGTGTTTGTTGCAAAGGGTCAGGTGCTTTGCTGAGTGCAGTTTTTTTTCCTGCATAGAGCTAAATCTGTATCCTCGCAGGTCACATTTTCCCAGGGACAAGGGCGCACTCAGAGGCCATTCACTGCAGCTTGATGCAGACATTCTGCTTGGCCAACTATTTCCACCCTCCTTACACACTCTGCCACCAGCTGAGCGGCTAAATCCTTCCTCTGGCTGTTAAGTACTGCTATGCCTAGAAAGAGTGTCTCTCTCTCAATAAAAATTGAAATAAAATACCTGAGCTACCATACGGAGGGAGGCGTTATGCTTCTGAAGGGTTTGCTTAACCACCCAGATCATTTTGCATGAGATGCTCAAACTTAAGATAATTTTTCTTGGAGGATTTTATTTTATTTTTTCCATCTGGGAATAAAGAAAGAGAAGTTCACAAAGCACTGAATCATCTGTGAGCTGAGTAAAGAATAAATAAATGCACTTGGAGTACAGATGGCCCACAAAGGGATTCTGATTTATAGCATGTTGTGGCGCATTACAGCAAAAAGTAGTATATCAACTAGAGTTGGGTGTGTTCAGGTAAATTACCGGTCTACAGCGAGGTGAGAACACTAGATTCTGTTATTTGGCTTCCTTTCATTCTAAATCAACCTGATAGAAATGGATTTCACAGTGGCTGAAAAAGGCTGGACGAATAAAAAAAAACAGACATTGATGAGTTATTGAGCCAAACTGTATTAAAGGGTGTTAGTGGCACTCAGAATCAATACATTTTGAAATGATCCCAACAACTTTTATGACCTTTCTGTTGAGTTACGACAAACAGATGGCTCCATGCTTAGGCTAAGGTGTTTGCTAACTGGCTTAAATTTCACACGTGAACACAGTCTGGCTGCTGGTAGGAGCGGTCTGTACCCGTTTGCTATACATTAGACTAAAATGTCAAAATGTTGTCTCACTTTAAGTTATTAATAAATCATTAAAAAGATGTTTCAGAGAATTGAAAGCCGGTTATGTAGATTGACCAACCTCAATTTGGAGAAACAGAGATTACATAAGACAGGATTGATGAGCTAACCACTAGTCAAGGCAAAGACCATCATCTCAAACTCAAAAATTGTGAATACTGTAAAAAAAAAGTTCTTGTACTTTAGTCAGTTTTGCATCACACAGTCAGCCAAGAAGAAATACTGTTACAGGCTGGTGTTACTGAACCAGACATGCTACAGCTAGTTAGCTCTACCGCTAAATTCTGATGCAAATATTTCAAAATTCCATTTAAACAGAATGCAAAATTATTGATGTAAAGGTTTACCTGAATGGCATAACGGAGATTTGTCTCTGGAGATTTTATTTTAGGACCACAGTTATCCAGGCTTGGCCCCACTCTGACTAGCCCTCAGCTCATCACCTCAGTTAAAACAAATCTGTTTCTCCACACCGCGGACCTGAAGGGCTACTGCCCTGCATGTTTTAGATGTTCTCTGCTTCAGCACACCTGATCAGGAAGTGACTGATGGGCTTATGTTAACAGGTCACGTTTAACACGTTTTGGCCATTACAATTAGCTGTGTTGAAGCAGGGAAAGTAATTCAAACAGGCAATTAATTGATGTTTAATTTAAAAAAATTAAACAAAAAAAAATTTCTTTAGAATTATTTCTTTAAAGAAGTTTAAAAATACATTTTTAAATCATAAAATGTCAGTGTAGCCTTCTATATCGACATACTGCTACATTTTACTCCCATTTGTACTCCAACATTGATTTCACTCAAATAATAATCCGTTTTTCAACAGAAAATACAGTATACATTGCACAGGACTACAGTTGCAGCATTCAGAATCAGCAGTGCAAGGAGGTTTAGTAAAATAATATGCTTGGATTTCGTAAAAGCAGAAAAGAAATTTAAAGGTGTTGAAATTATTTAATGAACCCTTATTGCACATTTGTTGCTTCATGCATTCTCGTTGGAATGTAATTCACACAATAAATGAAGTGTTTTATTAAAGTGGTAGTGTGTAGTTTCCTGATGACGTAAATGTTTTTCGCTGTGACTGTCACTAGTTTAAAAAACATTACAACAAATGTTGTTACCTGTGGAGCAGAAAGCTACAACCTCTGTGTGACTTCTCAGACTTTGATGGTCCTTCAGTTAATTCCATCGGCAGAATGCAATGACGATGCTATTTGTCTGGCACTGTAGTTTTCAGATCTGCTCGGAGTCCTGCATCTGCCCATGATGTCATCATACTATGACAATACCGCTCGGCCAAAATATATTCCATCTCTTTTTCAATTCTCTTTTGTTACATAGGTTTTGGAAAGAGTTTAGCAGTTTTCTTATTAAATTTATGTTTCTTACTGCCTAAATGTTTTTGAATGCGGTAACATAACTTTCGTAAGTCGTACATCCAGCCAGTCATCTAGTGTGACATCATCAACGGGCGCAGGACTCTGAGCTGGCCAGAAGGAAACATGGCATCTAATATGATGTCCCCCAAAGATGCTAGACCCAGTCCCTATGCACTTTGCACCTGATCTTTATGGTTATATGTTACGAAGCGGCCAATATTTAACAACTGGACGTCATTTTATTCATTTTCAACAATGATTTGATGGATATTTCCAGAAATTTCCAGTAAAAACTACACGTTGTTTCTTTACAGGACCTGTATCATGCTATTTTACACCTTCCAGAGCAAAATTGATTAAAAGAAGAAAAAAAAACACTACCATTGAAACTATTTAGATGTCGTTTTTTATGAAATATAAGTTATTGTCATAAGCGTTTGTCATTTTGAATAATCTTAACAAGCAGTGAGTGTTGCTGTAGTCCTTTTCTTTGTCCTATCGCAGTCACAGGCAGCTCAGTTCTTGTGAATGAGCTTCTTTCTTTTTTTGACAGAAGTCTAATGTATGGGATGTTTATATATATATATATATATATATATATATATATATATATATATATATATATATATATATATATATATATATATATTTATATATATACAATTGGTTTACTTGCAGTGCTAGGTTTCTGAAATGATGCTTGAGCAGCTACATAGGAGGAACAGCTTCATACACTCAATGGAATTAAACACGTCTGCTTTGTTTTCCAATCCCAAAATGTCTAAATGAACTTTTAGACTAAAATCTGAGCCCACCTTTGATGAGCACTGTGCCATCTTGTAGCAGCCTTTATGGAACATCAAATACATTTTATGCTAATTTAATAACAAAATAAATGTTATTAGCTAAATATTCCCATCTGACTCAAATTCAAAATTAAATACAATATATTACTCAAATTGAGTTACATTTTTTATTATCTCCAAATGTCAAGTTGAAGCTCAAAAAGGAGAAGCATTCTCAACATGCTGACTTTCAGGGGGTTTGTTATTTAAAACATAATAATATGTTGAGTTTATTTTTATCATACTGCAATTTGCACTTTATGCTGATCATTTATACCATGATATAATTTGATTTTCTGGTCTAAACTAAATCCTAAAATTCACTTCAATAAAAATTTATTTCAATTAACTGGTTGATTTAGTTTTTTTAAGGAAACGCAATCATTAAGGGAAAGTTAATTATTCAAAACATTAGTCAATTAAATAATCTCTGTTTAAATGCCCATTAGTGGAAGTCCTAATGTTTTTCAGTGCTTCAGTAAACACATTATTTGATGCCAATAATCTAATATTGAAATAGCACAACAAAACTGCACAACGTTGAAGGCATGAGGTTAAAAATGGTTCTATTAACGTGATTCTCGGGGTCTTATGTATAATATAATACAACGAGTGGGGTAATTTAGGAGTAATCAGTTCCTACTGATGGATAGTATTAATAAAACCACATACTTTTCTCTTTTTTTTTGGTTTTAAACCTTATTTTCTAATGCAGAACGACAGTAGGAACAATTAAACTCAGATTTAATTGTTAGTATTAAAGTATCATGATGATCATCTCCTCTCGAAAGGATTGATCGGGTTCATACACACAGACATGAACTGAGGATTTAATCTCAAATGTGAAGGCACACATTTATTATCATACTTCCTGTTTCCAAAGCAATTTTGAGATGCGAGTGTGAGCGGCCACCAAACAAATAGGCAGCTACCCAGTTTAATCAAACCTACACCCACTTAGGGCACTGCGGTCCACCCGTCCATGTGAAAAACCTCCAGATTTAATTAGCTGTGATCAACTGTAGTGTGAAGTCTAATTTCAGCCTTCACTTTTTCTTACACATGGACAGCCTGTAGCCGCTATTTTTCTCCTTTTCCGTTGCTTAACGACAATCCAGCATGACATTGTGGCTCAAATAAAAGCGGAGAGGAACAAAACATGAATCATTGGACCCGACCAGAGCGTGGAATGTGGGGGGTTCTCATTATAACAGAGTTATCTGCAGCCACCGAACGGAGTGAAAGGGCTTGATTAGAGAGAGGGGGATGCTAATGACAGTGAGGGCGGAATGTCACTCAGTGCACATTAAACATTTAGACATCTGTTGAGAGAAAGTGCAACTACAACGCTCTGCTTAGAGCCACTAACGATGCACACAGAGCCAGAGAGGGACAGGGCGACTAATTTGGCCTACAATTATGGACTCGGTCAATAAAAGCTACTTATCTTCACCTCCACTTCGATCTGTTTATGTACAAATTCACAATTTCTGTGGGTCTTCTATTGAGTATTGCTGACAAAAAAGCTGGGGAAAAGTACTTTCCTGGCAAATATAGGTGTTTTATTGGCCTAATGAGTTTCTTATTGCTTCAGCTTTGTTACTGCCTAAAGTCAAAAGGTGAAAGAAAGGTGATAATGTTTTTACTTGTGTCTCTGTGCCTGCTACAGACAACTGACCATACAAAACACTCAAATTGTTCAAACTCGGATAGGGTTTATGGTTTGTGTATTGTAAAGCACCTTGGGGGGTTGTAGATCTCTAGAAGGTGCTACATAAAAGGCCATTTACCAGACATGGAGCTGAAATGTGTAATGGCAGCTAAACGTTATTTTAACCCAAGGAATAAATGACACGTTAGCTTAAAACGTTGACTTTACCTTTTGGAGTGAAGATTGTTTCACTCTAGACAAAATGTGTCATGGCTGGTTTTAAACAAAACTCTCACAAAGTAACTATTGCTTGTATTTCTGTAACTGTATAATACAAGCGAAAATCAAAATATTAGAATACTGTGCAAAAGTTAATTTGTCAGTAATTCAGCTTAAAAGGTGAAACTAACTTATGAGACCGACTCATTCCATGCAAAGCATCATATTTCAAGCCTTTATTTGTTATAACTGTGATGATTCTGGATTACAGTTTCATGAAAATCCCACATTCAAAACCTCAGACAATCAGAATAGTGCAAAAAGTTCAGTGTTCAAGACTCAGCAGCCCTTTTTACAAGACACACCATGCCGGCAAATCGGCGTAATATTACCACAATGGTATGTATATAAAACGCGCACATTTTGCAGCAGTCGTTCTGCCTCACTCGGTAGTGATATTGTGACAATGGTCTGACACATGCACCCTGGCTCAACAGAGGCAGATGTCATGATGACGTGGGGAGTTATTACTGATCTCTGGCTGGCAAATTTATTGAAAATGAAAGTAAACACGGGCAATAAGGTTTGCTTTTTGAACAAAATCAGCTGAGATGGCAAACTGGAGCGCCGCAGCGCTCCACGAGCCTCTCTGTTGGAGCTGAAGCTCAGATCACCAGAGACTGCACAGGGACTGATGGGGATAGACACTGCTTGTTAAAAAAACTTAACGATCACGGCTTCAATCACAATAAAAAGCAAGTCATGTCCAAGATAAACGGAAGTCTGCAGCAGCACAGAGACCGCCCCCATACCCCCTTCATGCCGCCATCACCTAATCCTTTATAAAATTGCGACAATTGCGCCACATTACCGCCACGGTCTGATCTTATAAACAAACTTTATCCTCCCTAGAGAGCCGTGGCAAATCCCATTTTGCAAACACTATGCTCCTGTAAAAACAGCTAATGTGTCACACACTGACCAGCTAATGAATCCAGAACACCTGCAAAGCATTCCTGGACCTTTAGATGGTCTCTCAGTCTAAGTTGAATTACTGACATAAATGGAGTTTTGCACCCTATTTGAGTGTTTCAACTTTTACCACTTCCACTTGCCACTGACAAGTGAGCATAGCCAACCCCAAAAATACTGATTCGTTTTACAAATGTTGATAGCTTAATGCTTGATGAGTTGCCCTGAAATGTTGTTAACTACTGGCAGTTTGGTATCATTTTGGCATAAACATGGGGAGTGATAAGGATTCCTACAGAAAATGACAGGTTTTAGAAAGACATGATACTGCTGAATGTAACCCCCAAACTGCACTGGTCTACAGTTTCTCTATTGATCCCAATGCATTGTGAACATTGTGTGTCCTTTGGTCAATCGTCACATCCATACTATATGGACCAACCTGTTTGTTGTCTTCTGCTGCTTCTATTTATTTTAACGGGAGAGCCCACCCAGCCAAAGTGACAGAATCCCCCTCCCTGCATAACTGATGATGGGACGTTCGTTGTGGCCATACCCATCATGTGTGAAGTCAACAAAAACAATCGTGAACTTTGTATAAGTAGCAGGGAAAGAGTGAAACAGTACTGGGCCGGTAGGTTTAGGATTACCATACCCTGGATGATTTAGAACCTTGACCAGATCCCTTACCTTGTTTGTACTTTAACAGCAGGTCCCAGATTCCCCTGCGAGCGTAGGGATCTACTCCTGCTGTAGGTTCATCCAAGATGACGATTTTTGACCCACCGACAAACGCTATAGCCACTGAGAGTTTTCTCTGCATGCCACCTGAAACACATAAGGAGGCACAACAGACATGTTTGTATTGGGTAATTCTACCTGTAGCGTATACAAAAAACACCCACCTCACAGACATGTATCAGTGTCAGCCTTCAAATTTAATACGGACGCAGTATTGGGAAGTGATTATGGAATAAACATGTCTAGATGTACCTTTCCGTGTTTTATTGCCTTTTGCAGGCAGCCAATTGATGGATGGCCTGGAAGTAGAGACACTTTCCTGCCATAATTCTAGTTTGCTCTCTCTTCACAAGCTCTTCAAAATGCATGCGATGTAGTGGAAATGTCAGCATAGATCAACCTTGAAAGTCATATTTCAGTGATTTTGCTCACAAGCATTCTGTGACTTGGGGACAATTTGTCAAATAGGGTTCACTCGTGCTCCCCTCCCCCACCCAGACAATGAATTACAGCATAAAGGTACAGTGAACGTGGCATGTGCATGTGTGGGGATTCGAGCAACAAGCGTGCACACAAGAAAGCACCACATCAGCATTTGGTAAGTCGACCACTCACCAGACAGGTTCTTGGCGAGGTCTTTACGCTTATGTGGTAAACCAACGTCTTTAATTAGCTGTTCCATCTCGGATTCAACCTCCCTGTGGCTGCGCCCTTTCAGCCGGGCGTAGAAGTAAATGTGCTCCTCTACAGTTAACCTGGAAAATATGTTAAAATGTGATCTTTTCACTTTTGGCAACACAAAATATAAGAAATTGATATTTCTGTGCAAAAACTTACAAAAATCAAGTGTTGCACTAGTATTTCTTGTATTTGTTTCTTAGAGTCCAACTTATCATAATGACTTACTGATCCTGCATGAATATCTTAACCCTGCTGGCAATAGAAAGCTTTACTATTTAGAATTAATATTAATGGGGATAATTTGTTGGTGCTCAGTTGCAATTATGATGTAAGACAAGTTTCAAGGGATTTTTCTTTGGAGAAGTGAAAAGTGGGAAAGATGTACTAAAATGGAATAATGGTTGGAAATATGGTCACCAGAGTAGTCAGTAGGGGGGCCAAAATACAGAGAACACCCCTCCACACACACACACAAGTTCCCCTTTTATTGTGTATGACAAATCAGTCCTGAGGGCAGGTTAGTGTATGGATGGACAACCACCTGTGAAATTCATAATTCACCCACTCATTGAATAGAACATTATGCTGAGGACACATTCCCAGGTACTTCCGTATTACGTCCATGTCGGTGCGGATGTCGTATCCATTAACGAGAGCTGTTCCCGATGTAGGTGAGAATAATCCTGTTAGAATAGACCTGCAAAGAAAATCAGCATATCTTAAGAGTTACACAAGTTTTAGCAATTGAAAAATAACTTTAAAATGAAAATAATTTTTACATTTTTTATTTGTTTTTGTAGAAAACACCACTAACAAAGATATAAAGCATCTTTTAAAAGTATTAAAACAATTCTCTAAATTGTCAAACTTGTTTTAAAAAATTCCTGTTTTGTATAAAATTATAAATAAAAGAGGGAATGTTCAGGTAATTAATGATTATAAAATAAATGTGACTGCAATATAATATAAATGTTGAGTCAGTTAAGCTTCTTTAGTTTTATGTATTTGTTGTTTTTTGTTAAGGCATCTTTGTTATGTTTAATAATCTTTGTTTTTGCTTTTGGAACTGAATAAAATAGACTGGTGTTCACATAAAAATAATCTGATTAAATCAAGTGGAAAAAAAAACAAACTGGCTTGTTTTTCTTTTTCACTGTAAATCAAAATATTTCCCCTTTTAAAATATTCTTGATTTTGTTCCATAGTCCTAAATGCCCCACATTTCTTTTATTTATAAGTAATTTTTTTTCTTTTTGTACATATTTCTTGCTCATTTAGTATTTTTGGTTTTGCCCCGTTAACTCATAAATTTGATTTTCCTCAACTGGTGAGAATTTCTCTTATGTTTTTACTTTATGTCATTTTTAGTCCGAATTTTCTTCATTTTTTGACACATTTTAACTTTTATTTTTCATGTGTCTTTAATTATTGTTTTATGTCAGTGTGTTTAATATGATAAGTTATTTAAGTATTTATTTGTTTTTGACCTTTCAAGGTGCAATTTGTAAGACTGACACCCTGTGGTCAAATGTGGTTACTGCAGTCCATTTTTATGCAAAACTATTGCTTTCTCACTGCCGTTCTGTGAGTTTCATGGCTGTTGCCAGATATGAATCAATGCCAGCAGATTCTATATACCAAGCAAAAACAAGTCAAACTCAGTAAGTTGGTAAGTGGATAAATACATTGCCATCTCTGGTATTGGAACTCTTACGTGTTTTACGATAGGGAGCACTTACTACACTTTTGTAGGTCACATATTTCTCTAGAATTGAAGGAATTGTGGTTGTGTGCCTTCCTGCCAGGGCCAGACTAACACTTTGTTGTACCCTGGGCAACAATATTAAAAGGCCCCATCATCACGACTCAAGGATCACCATAATATGGTCACAAACAGAATATTTTACTGTAATATGCAGTAAATATACTCAATACTTGAATGCCTGACATCACGTAATCTGCTCAGGGTAACCTTTGACCCACCTCGTTAGGACTGACCAATGAGGAGAGGGTCTTAACTTGAGGCCCTCTCTTCATTGGTCAGTCTGCAAGAGACTGACTCTCAACTGACGTTCAGTCATAGGCAGCGAAGCGTCTCTGTGCAGCGCAAAAGCCCGGGTGGACAGTTTGTTTAATAGGGTGATCATATTTCCATTTCCAAAAAAGAGGACAGGGGATCTGTGCCTATGACGTCACACCATGGCAACGCCACACAAACCATGTTGGGACCCATTTTTTTGTAAGAACTAAACTAATATCAGATTCTGCCAATAAAAGGGCTCTAAAACAATTCATATGTAAATATTTAGCATATTTATTGCAAAATCTCATTTTTCTGCTTTAGTGCTGCAACAAGGTTTTATTAATAATAAATTATTATACCTTTTGTTTTACTACAGCATTGGTAAGCTTCCTGTGCACAGATAATTAAGGATGCTTGTTTCAGCTGTGAGATTAGACGATAGGAGGAATGAAAAAATAAGTTGTCACACACTCCATGGAAACTTTCAGAGAATCCACAAATAGTGGCTTTCAAATGGTTTTGTTACTTTTTGCAAGTTTATAAAAGAAGCAGATGAGACAGCATGTCTGATAAGTTAGTTCTTCATCTGATAATATTAGAACATGTCAGTAATGACTGAGGGGGCATTTTGCCTTGGCCCCCAAAATGTCTTGAAACGGCCCTGGGTGTGTGACTGAGTTTTGAAGGTGATCTGAACTGTATCAGATGTATAAATATGACATGTGTGTAACTTATTGTTTTATACAGGTAAAAACGTGTAGTGGGGATAAATCTACCTACATTTTACTTTTCAACACTTTGTTTTGTTTTCTTGTTTTTATTTAACTATTTTCCTGTCCTGTCTGTCTCTCATCTTCCTGCATCTCCTCTCAACTCTCCAGAAAAGCTGCTGCCTGGATTCTTACTTTTTCTCCTCATCAGTTACTTCTGAGCAGATCAAAGGGATCTCATGACCGCAAAGCGGAGAGTGCGTTTCGATGCTGCGTCAGTGAGGTGAAATCACCACAGCACAGGTGTTGAGCTCCGCAGTAGCAGAGCGCTTCAGGCACAGATAAGACAGAAAATAGAGAACATGTGCGGACATGAACGATCGTGTGCTAATTATAGTTTTTTGGTTGCGCCACTTTGAGAATGGACCGTGCGCTGGAAGCAGCAGCCTGGAGCGCTGCGCACCAACGATCATCGCTCTGCCACTCTCTGTGCTCTCTGCTCAAAAGAGTCCATAAATGGTGTAATATAGGTAGAAAATGTTTTATCCAGCTCCACTGGATGTGTAGGATATACAGCTCCCCCATAATTCGATCCCTGCTCCTGGATGAAAAGCCGGACATTTTCATCAATACAAGAACCCCCCGGACACCCGGACAGAGAGTGAAAAGTGGACATGTCCGGGGAAAAGAGGACATATGGTCACCCAGTTTAATATAAAGCGGGAGATTACAGATACAGTATTTTGCTCGTGCCCTTGCTGCCCTGGGCCTGGGCCCTTTAGAGTTTGTGGACCCCTGGGCAACTGCCCAGTTGCCCATGGAACGTGAGGAAATATGGGTTTTCTGTCACAAAGGTGGTGTTGGACTCAGCTGTGTCAAAGCTGGGTCGCTGAGAACTTTCACCCACAGATTAAGACCTGAACGCCAGCGAGTCTGGGAGGAAACCATAACATCTGCCACCTGCGGTACCAGAAGAAGGAGTTCTCATGGACAAGTAGTCATAACAAGTCAAAACATAAAGTTTAAACTTCCTTTTCTTGGTTTGAATGTTAAAAGTTTAATCATCAATTTGCTCATTATAAATGTGTTTTAATCAAATGAATGACTATTATGCTTTGGGGTAATTATAAGAGATTTAATGAATCCATAATTAGATAATGTTGAGAGTGTTTGTTGCTGACCTTCACACACACTCAAGCACACACACCCACACACAGATTCTCACAGTTAAACTCCAAAACACATTTGCTGACGCACACGTTTGCTTTGAGAAGAGAAAGGCTTTTGGTAAGTTTCAGTCTTATGATTGCAGTTCGTGCTTGACAACGAAAGAGAGAGGACGTGTGAACAACCGCTAACGGGGGCACGGAGCCCATTGGCTCAATCCCCCCCCCCCTCTCTCAAGCTGTTCCTGCCAAGCCAGGCAGAATAGCTGAATCGCGACTTCTAACGCAGACTCATTAACGATTCTTTTGATTTCTGAGTGAATTAACTTAAGAAAGCACATCGACAAAACGCTTTACCATCCACGTGTACCGAGGGCAACTCTGGACCGGATCCGTTCGACACCTACGTCTCCTGTCAGCCGCCGGTGTCATCTGGATGAACCACAACATCCTCCACGGCCCGGATCCGAAAGAGGGTCCACAAGAGTTCGGTGAGACAGAGCACGGTTTTTAGCGTTTGATGCAGTTCTCTGATAAGACCTAAGTTTATCCAAACCATCACTTCACTCAGACACCTGTTTCTTCCTGAAGCAAAATCAGACTCACACACGCATTCATGTCACGACATTCTCAATCTTCATAAATTCACCACAAGGTCTATTTGAGCAAGAACAGCATATCAACTGTTAAAGATTGTCCCACAAAGTTGCCAATGTTGATTGTTATTTCCTGTTTGTCAATTTTCAAAATCATTAGTTTAATTTGAAGAATTAAAACTTTTAATCCTTCAAACTGGTTTCCTCATTGAACTGAAACACAGACACACAGATATTATCGTCAGTTTATCGATGAAAACAACCTTTGAGTCTTCTTAACAATATAAAATTTGGTTATTGATTTATTAAAAATTTATATTCCGAATTAATACGTAGCATGGTTCCTCTTTCATAAAAGAGCATAAAACCACAACGCTACACCCATATGGTTAATATGGCCTTGCTTCTTGCTGTTAGCTTGCTGAAATGGTACTGAACAACTCATTACATGAAGTAATTATCAGCTCCTTTACTACAGATGAAGCCTAGACAAACTGGTCTCCCAAGAACAAGACAACAAGATATGCAAACTCTTTTGCTTAAGGAACAGACTCACTCCCATACTAAATAGACCATGGCCTTGGACTCTTTCGTCACAGCCAGTTCACACTAAGGTCACGACTGACTCATTACTCACTTCACACATACATTTCATTGTAGAATTGAGTTGCTGGTAATTGAAAAAGTAGTTAGAGCTGACTATTTGCTTCTAATTCACTGTTAGCACTGTTAGCCTCTAGCCTGGTTCACCTGGTATTAAGACTAAAACAAAAATATGTCATGGCTTCTTGTGGTGCAAGAAAGAACTTCTGGGTTTCTACTGTTTGTTTTGGTTCTTTAAATAATTTTGAAACGCTTGCTTGCTGGTGTCAAATTAGAAATTTCTGTGCTTCTGTGTAAGCTTGCTGCAGATTTGGCAACCTCACAGACTACATCCCTCTTTTTGTTTTTATTTTGAAAGGAGAAAAGCTGACAGCCCCCAGCCGGCTGAGAATGAAATCAGTTTCAGCATAACCTCCCTTCCAACATGAGTGAGACATTAGACTGTTTTGTGATTATATCACAGTAAAGTCTTACATATTGCACCTTTAAGTAACCAGGAAATCGGCCTTAAGATAAAAACTCTCTTTTAAGAGTGCCCCATTAAAATGAAAATTTATGTTCATGCCTTAGAGGATTTTTCTTTTTAAAAGTTGGCTGGACTTCTTTAATTAAAAAAATAAAGTCTTCCACTTTTTGGAACCTTGTCAAAATTGTTTTCCTAAATTTCACGGCTGAGGAGGTGTTGTGCTGTAGGATCACATCTACAAAAGGTTTAACCGAGTTTTATTTCTGTCCTTTCTCTTAGTGTGTTGTTATATTTAGTTCCAGTTGCGCAGATGTCACCCCCACAGCTCTTAGTCCCACATGGCTTGTTTTCTGTCGCTCATACGTTCTGGACCACTGGCTTTCATTTATTTCCTGTCAACCTGAAACCCCAAACAACCTTTTCACACATTTTTTTTTCAAGCAGCAATTAGATAGCTCTCTCTCACATCACATCTGCTGACTGTATGTGACAAATGTCCTCTAAGTGGAGTCGCTCCTTAGAATCAGTGAATACGCTACAGTAGCCAACACTGCTAATATTAAATTACACAAACTCAAGGATATAGCTCACATTGTAGTGGTTTTTCCTGCTCCGTTGTGGCCCAGAAACGATGTGATCTGATTCTCATAGAAGTCCATGCTCAATCCGTCCACTGCCAGCTTCTTACCCGTCTTGTAGATTTTCACAAGGTTGCGGATCGAGACCCCTGCTTTACTGTTAGAAGGTGGTTTCTCTAGATATACTTCATAAACCCACAAATACAGAAGGAAACAAGAATACAAATGTTTAGAGCTATTATACAAGACACATTTAATTGCCAAATGTAAGCAAGAAAGAATAATTTATGTTTTGATTGAACTCAGTCTACTTCCAGAAAGAAAAAAAAAACATTTTTAAAATAGGGTAGGCTTGGTCTGGCTATCAAATGGAGGATGCTGATGGTAACTAGCCTGTATTATTTAGTCTGGCCACGCTCCATTGACGGCTCTCGGTTGTGGGGCGGGTTCTACCGTTGTCTTTCAAATTCAAATTTTATTTGTCACATACACATTCATACACAGTACGAAATGCAGTGAAATGCCTTACACAACTGCTCGTGACCTAAGAGTTGAAAATAAAAACAAAAAACTGTACACCACAAATTAAAATGAAGGGTAAATTTAACTGGGAAAGAGTAAGGTAAAATATATCTGAAATGATCTCCGCATTCCACTGGACAATGAATGTGACATACCCTTGTTTCACTCTGTTGCATCATCCCACCCACCAGGCATATAGAGTGCCCTGATTGGCCCACAAAGCAGATAAAGCTCTGTGATTTGTTCACTAAGCAGATAGAGCACTATGATTGGCCCACCATTATGGACCAATCACAGCTCTTTATGTGTTTGAAACCCCTCTAGAGAGCTGTGATTGGCCAGCCAGAGTCCTGGTAGGAGCTGCGGAGGTTCCAATGGAGCGTGCCTAAACCATTCTTTGCAAAGCAAGAATTTGGTCTAGTTCACTAGGCTAGATGGTAACCACTTCTATGTGGGATCTCATTCTTTTAGTCATGATCCAAATATCCTTACCAAACGTGAGGGTTGGAACATAGAAAAATAAATAGTGTTCTTCCTTTTGACTCAGGTCCTTCTTTACCCGCTCCATTTATTAAAGATGAAGCCCATATCCATTGGTCTGTCTCACAAGAACAAGAACAAACACTCTTTTGTTTAAGGCAAAGACTCACTCTCAACTCAAAGATATCATGGCCTTAGATTCTTTCATCACAGCCAATTCACACTCAGCTGTGAATCAACCCAAGCCGCTATGAGAGAAGACGCCCACTGAATAAAAAAATGGCCGAGATGAGATCCTGAAGTTCTCAAACTAGACATCCTCTTCATGTCCATGAACATCACAGACAGAATTTTGAGGTTGAAGGGCCTGGAAGATGTAAACCTAAACGGTAAACAAGCTCAACATAGTGCTGAGAATGCAGAGCATTGATGCAAACGTGGCTCTTGCTTTGGTTGGCCCTTAAATTGACAAAACCACATGTGGTCCAGACAAACAAATTCCTATGAATTAGAAGCTAAAAAACAAACAAACTGATATCCAAATAAACCCTACAGATCCCAAAAAGACATACCCCACCTCAGGCTAATCACCCAGAGCGTTAATTAGAGATTGTTCTTTTCATCCCTCGTTTCCTGACTTGGCCGTCACTTTTCACCCCCGCAAAGCACCCAGCTCTATTAGCAGCAGATGTGATAAAGGATGTGCAAATGTTTGTTTGTGAATCTTCTCAATTCGCTTACACTTCTCATTCGACCCACGTCCCCTCTAGAACAGAAACAAGCTGACGAGTTTAAATTAGCTGCTTAGGTCAGATGCACGCTAAATGTGAGAAGTGAAAATCAAATGAGAGCTTACCGTCCTCCACTCTGGAATCTTGAAGTAAATCTGTACGATTGTCTGTCGCTGATGCTGTCCCACACCAATAAGAGGAAGTGAAAGGGAAGTTCCATGGTTTGGGAATTCCATACTGACCTGCAATGAACCCCAGAAAAATACTGACTTTGTTTAGTATTGACTAAACAAATACAACACTATATCATGCACATACCTACACAAAGACTAAGATATCAATATAAATGCAAGAATCACATCTCTGTCACATTGTTCTTCAAATAAAACACATTGTTGCTTGAAATTCTACTGATAAGTTATTCAGCTAAAAAAGTGATTACCTGGAAAGACATTTTCAATGTACCACGTGAGCACCCAGTACAGAAGAGCATCAAACAGCATCATGACAATGGAAATGATGAAGGTGTAGCGATCCCCCTCCTCTGGGCTTTTGGCGATGTTGTGCCACTGAATCCCGATGCCTTGCTCTTCGTACTTAGAGAATTTCTCACAGCCGTATCCAAAGGCCACACATGATAGTAAACTCTGAATTGAAAAGGATAAAAATCCATAGTTACATAAATTCTTCAATCATCTATAAAGAATGAATGCCGATTTGTCGTTAGTTCATATGACTGCCATTGTCTGCATGCTGTAGTGGTAGTGAGCAGCTGGTTGTGTTAACATGCAGTACAATAAAGACTGGAGCAGAGGGAAACTGCTAATCCTGGATCTAGAGTCTTGGGTGGATGCCTGGCGAGTGGTCCCAGCCAAGACTGTCTGTCTGGTCCCCAACCCTCCATTAAACAATACATTTGTGTTCTACACTTTTATTTGTCAATAAAACAGAGACATTACAAGGACTATTGAACACACATCAACATTGAAACAGATCAGCTGTGCTTGTGTTTAATATTGTTCTAAGGTATAAAACTCAAAAAACAGATTCAGGTCCTTCTTTCAAGAAACACATACATTTTGTGTCAACTGTTCATGAATTTAATTAATTATTGCAAAAGTAATTTGATGTTCTTTGTGTGAACTAAAATGTATTTTAAACCAACAGAGGCTGACCACCGAACACAAAATAAACTACCGGTAAGTTTGTTGGACCACTGGGGGAGGAGGGGTGTGGAGCAGAGTTTTCCAAGATCACATACAAATTGTGTCAGATGTTCATAAATTAAATTAATTACCACAAAATGATTTTCTTTGTGTGAACTAAAGTTTATTTAAAAAAAAACAAAGGCTGACCTCTGAACACAAAATAAATGAGTTTGTTGGAGCACGGGGGAGGGGGGGGGGGGGGGGGGGGGGACTCTTGCACATGCACATTAGCAGCGGGGGTGGAGCAGAATGTTTAAATAGTTGCAGCAACAGCACACTCATTTTATTGTGCAGTCTTTGGATTAGGTCTTTTGAGTGGAGACAACGCTCATTTTTGGTAAGTACACGGTGTTTTATTATCTTTTGCAATGTACTGTTGTAGTAAGATGCTAAGTAGCACAACTGCAAGTCACCATTTCAAATTATGCTGCCTCCTGGTAGTTAAACTTTTCAGACTACTGCTGCCATGAAAATTCATGATTAGTCGACTACGACTGTTACTGGACGACAATATTTGGGCTTGACGTATGTCGTTTTGAAGTAATTTATCTAAACTTTTCTGAAATCTTTCAACAAAAGTAGCAACCCATTTCTAGTCCAGGCCACTAGAATACGCCGGTTCTGTAGGGTGCTTAAAAGAACTGAACGGCACAAAGGCTTTTATTGTTCTGACCAAATGGACTTTTTTTATTAAAAGAATGTATTTTTAAAACTGAAACTTAAAACCTAGTCCAACCCCGTAAGGCTGAGTGTCAAGCAGGGAGGCATTAGGCCCCATTTTTATAGTCTTTGATATGACTTGACCGTGGATTTGAACCCTGATCTCCCAGGGCGGACACTCATACCCACTGAGAAGGTCAATATCGCAAACATCAAGAGTGACTTCATGAAATGATAACTGAGTCAGTGCATTTGCATGCCCATCAGAAAAACAAACTATTGCCCTAAGTAGACTGAAGTGGGTTTTTTAATGCATGTAAACATGTTAGTCTTGCCGAAGTTGAACAGGTTCTAATCGAGCTGAAGCACCTAGATAATATGGTAGGTACCGAACTTCATGGGCATGTAAATGGATCAGTTGAGCTGATGCCTGTTACTTCAGGAAGAGATGACAGCAGAATCAGCCTTCTGAGAATATCATTGACATGTATAAAATATTTACCACCATTAAACAGTACAGTAAGTACCAAAAAGGCTATGCTGCAGCGTTGTTGTTGTCCATTCATTTGGCCATTGTTGATATCCTGTTTTAACTTCATCTGCTTCACTCCCGCCAGAAAGAATGCAACCACAAACGGACACATGTCGCCACCTACTGTACTGGAGTGGAACAAACTTCATTTCAGAGTTTGGTTTTCTTATAGACATGTAAACTAGAATTAAAGCTCCCACTTCATTACTTTAGATTGACCTAGATTAACTTTGATGCGCATGTGAACGCTACTTTGCTGGTGCTTAGCAAAAGGCGGGGAACCCCGTAACAGGTCTCATGTCAATCACAGGGCCACACAGAAACAAACAGGACACACAAGTAGTCAGACTTTCAGTTACACCTAGACACAATTAAGACTTATAATATATGCATGGGGAGAAAATGTTAACTCTGCTCTGTAAGACTATTGCTTGGTTTTGAACTAGCAACCTGTTTGAGGCAACACCACCAACAACTGTGCCATAATGCAGCCTGAAACAATCCCTAATGAAAACTTTTTTGGCCCAGATTTTTCACAAAAGAATAAAACAGTAGCTATAGCACAATAGTATTTTTTTTACAGACATGGACTAAAATGGTTGTTTTCCTGAGTGTAAGATCCTGTTTATGCCATATCATAATCATATGTTGAAGTTAAGTTGCTTACCAGCTGAGTGGTCTAGTGATGTGTGTGTCCGCCTTGAGACTTGGATATCGCGGGTTCAAATCCACAGTTAGGTCATACCAAAAGACCTTAACAAAATGTGACCCGGTGCCTCACTTGACACTCAGCATGACGGGGTTTGATTGGGGGGTTGCAGATCACTGCTCTGCCAGGTTATGGGTCAAACGTGGAGAACAAATTTCACCACACAAAAGTGTCTGCGACAACTAATGGGACTTTAATCTTTAAAAACAGACCAACAAAATAAATTCTATAAAAATGTTTTGGACTAAACTGAGAACAAAGCAGCTTCTAAGTCCACATGAGCAAAACACAAAGGGATGGATAAAGATTTTGGGACAGTATGGTCTTTTTTTGAGATAGTGTTGGTTTAAGCAAAAATTTCCTGTAACTTTGGTTTATATTGATCCAGTTAATGTATCCTGAAAAACAACTGAGACACAAACACTTAATTCCTAAAATGTACTGTAAAGTTTATGAGCTAAATGATTTTTCTATTAAACTTTCAGTCGATTAGTAAAGAAACAGCACAGAAATTATCTTCAGTTACTGATGCCATGGGAGGCTGTTATCGCCCAGGCAAGATGGACACCAGAATCCATCTGCTGCAAACAAAGATTTGTTGGATCTTTCATATAGCAGGAAATTGCAAATGATGCTTTGCCCACGAGACATCATCTGCCACGGCCTCTCATTCCGCATCGCCATGCTGCCTGCCAGCTGTTTCATCACACCTCATTTGCTCGCAGCATTTATACTCCGGCAGAAGTGTTTGCTGAGGCTTGAGAGACGAATCATCACGGAGACCCGATGTTGCACTGCCACACAGAGAAGCTCTCTCTGCAGTGACGCCAGCCTTCTATGACTGGCTGCAAACACTGCTGGCAACTTCCCGCACTGCCCTCTGCCGCCCATCTGCCAATCAGTCAGTAGATGAGGGTCGACAGCAGGGCCAGTGGGCACCCATCCTTGACCTCTGTACGGATGGTTGACCAAACAACAGGAGGCAGTCCTTTGGCTGTTGAGAAAAGGGCATGAGCTGGGAGACAGACAAAACAAGCCCTCTTTATTGAACACATGTCAAACTGGAGATTTAGACATCATTCAGCTGGCCAAGGAAAAAAAGCATTGTTAAGAGGATTATTAATCAAGGTTAGTGTCTCTTGTTCTTCCAGAGCATTTTAAACATGTGTAACTGGAGGGGTTTGTGAATGCAGCAGAAACCAATCCTTTGCTCTGAAGTCATTGAGGTCCTGGCACGTCTAATTGTTTATGGAATAAACAGCTGACTTTGTGCATTGCTTTACATTGAACTCTTTCCTTTGTCCTTCACTGCCTTTGTAGTGTCTACTGAACCAGTGCTAAAAACGTCTAACCCAACCTCCAGTAATTGGTGATAAAAAAATACCCTTTAGTTGCAGCTCTAAAAGCGGCCATAAGTTTATTTTAACAAACGTCAGAGGAGTGGGGTAACTACAGGAAGATGTCATAAAAGCAAAGATCAATTAACTGATATCACCAAAGTAGAGCCTGGAAAGTCTTACAATATTTATGGGAAATTTGCATTTTTCAGGATTTTACTGGACTTTATGATTAACTCGGAAATCTTTCTTGTTTTCAGCACAAAAGGAAGTGTAGGTCCTGTATAACTTCCTTCTCATTAAAACAGAAGTAGTCAAAGCACAACTTTTTTTTTTTTTACAGTGGTCTACTAGACTACTGCCTGAAGCTCTCTTCTGGCACACAACCAAAAACCGTCCTCATCAATTCAGGTTATCTTTTGAAATCCTGTTCAGATTAAAAACTTAATTATCAAGGACTGTGTGAAGAATGGTCTGTTTGCCTTGGAATGGTGCAGGTTTTATCCAGGCTAGGAGAAAGAGAAAGTGAAAAACCACACAGACATTATTTTTTTTACAGTTTCCTGATTTTTTTAGATAATTTTGTCAGACATTTTTATGCTTTACTGAACTATAACTAGAATCACATCATATGTTTGAAAGGCTTTTATTGACAGTTATATACATTTTTACACACTTGTTTAAAGAACAAGTTCACTTTTGCAGTGGTCTCTAGAGTAAATTAATGCCTTGTGGGTCAATCCTTGTAGGAAAAATGCTCTCACGCTCCTGTTTCAGGAAGTAGAATTGAGCCACATCAGAGCTGAGGTTCGAAGTGCAGGACGTGGATTATTTTCTGACATTTGGACGTCTAGCCTCTGACTGGCTAAGAGCATTGCAACTCTACCACTGACTCCATCTGCTTTGCAGAGTTGATGTTTTATCTACATAAATAACACAATCCTGAAGGAGTTCTGCTGTATTGTGGAGTTGCTGCTAACAGCTAGTTTCTACTAGACGAGATGTTTCCTGGACGCTGAATCAACAAAAGCCTTCCCCGTTAGGACTCAAGATGGGAGAGTCCATGAACGTTAAGTGATTGTAACATAGATCTATTTTCTGTTGTTGGCTAATGAAGGAAATTCAGTTGAATACCATATTTGTGTTCAGACTGCTTGCGTGACTGATCCTTTAGAAAAAAAATGACAAGTAAAAAACGGTTTCACTGTAAACTTGGTCATTAAGACATTTACAAATCACCCTTGCCTGCTGTTGATCAACAAAATGCATATCTTGACTGGGGGCAGCTTAGTCTTGCATAATCAGGACTAGTTTTTCACCCATCTATGACCTTTACCTCAATAATTTTGATATTAGTGTTTCTTTGCACTTTAACTTCCGTCGTTGTGCAAAAACAATGCAAAAATAAAAATCTTCTTCTATTTAGATATCTTTTCTTTAAATGTTGAGATGACACTAGGGTGACACATTATAATGCCTCCATTGCTGCGTTTCTGACAGGCTGCAGCAAATGATTTTTATCATTTGAATTGCCCAAAAGTCTCCAATGAAACCAGAAAAAAATCAGAGCTGGTCTAGTGGCTAATAAAACGTAGCTAGCCTAGTAGCTAGCTAATGACTAACTAGCATTAGCCGCTATAGCCTCTATATTGAAAAACAAAACTGCTAGAAGGGTTTGAACACTTACTAAATATAGCCACAAAGTAGCTAAGCTGGTTAAACTGATGGCCCTTTTTGCAGCACTGCAAGTGAATGACTTTTGGCAATTTGCCCACAAGATTTTGAGTGTCCAGATCTTAACCTCAAACCAGGATCATGACCAAGTCAAATCCCCAAATCTAATCTACCAAACAATTTATTGAATAGGTTTTTTGAATGTATTAAATGTACACATCATAGTGAAATAAACCAGTTTCTACTTGGGCTGGGCCACATTTGTTAAAAGAACGGCTGAAAAGTGGCCTTTGTTTCGTACCATATTATTACAAATTGTCCACAAATTTGTGCAAAATGGCAATCATTTCATTCAAATATGCAACCACTGGAGAGGGTTTGATTTAGCAGAGGTACAAATTTGCTAGCATTCAATCCAATTTTGTTACTGCACAAAAGAAAAAAAATCTGTTTTGTATGTGAAGTGTGTGAACCAGCATATGCCCTGTAAAGAGGCAACAAACGAAAATCAAATAAAGTTTTCTCCAAAAAGAAAATCCATCATTCTGGAGGACCAACTCAAAGACAAGCAATTTCACCTGATATGTTGACATAGATTTTTGACAAAAGCAAGAAAGCAGAAGTGACTTTTGTCATTGGGAGCTGGTGTGAGGTTTTATTTTTAATAGAAATAGTTGAAAGGAAACACGAGAATGGTCATGCACACCTGACACCGCATTGTTGAAACTGCCATAGGAGAAAACATGACCTGATTAAAATTCTTTGAGGCTGCACAGCCACACACACCGCAATCAAGATTCAAGATTCTGTGTGCTTTTGTCTGCAGGAGACAGCTTGAGGACAAATGATAGCGGCACTGCTCTAAAGGTCACGCGGACAGGCTACACTAAAAGTTGAGCAATGGTACGCTGTTTATCTTGATTCCTCAGAGAATAGAAGAAAATCCCTAACTTCCCTCCTCACTCCTCTCTTTTATGCTAATGATCCATGTATTTATCAACTGAGAATGCTCATCTGAAGTAAGACTAAACACCAAAATCAAGGTGTCATCGTGAATATTAAAACCATTTCATATAAGCAGCTGTTTTGTAATTTTAATATTGCTTTGAATCCCTAACTCGTTTGAAACACTCAGGGCTCACATTTTATTTTCTGGTGGCTTTGCTCAGACAAAAACAAACCTAAGGCAAGATATTACTGTCACTGGAGGTGAACTCACTTCCTTTCATAATAAACAGAGGCAAAGAAATCTGACTTTGTGCCCGCCTGGATTTAAAAGGGAACAGGAAATGGATGAGGAACGCACAACCATGACGGACAAATTGTGATTAAAAGTGGCTAAAATATAACCTTGGAATAAAACTCACTTAAAGTACGATAACAGCAAGCAGGGACGAGATATTCAAAAAACCAAGCCGAAGCTAAAGACGGACTTACCACAGCGACCTTGGCCCCGAAACCCATGACGTCCCTCCAGGCATAGCAGAGGACGTGCGGCAGGTAGAGGAGAAAGTAGATGAGGCCGCCGCACGATGCTGCTAAGTTGGCCTTGGAGAAGAAGACACTAATGAAGAAGCACTCTGAGACGGTGGCCAGGCAGAACACCAGCAGGAAGATAAAGATCACTGAGGGGTCGCTGTACTGGAGGACTTTGCCGTACTGTGTTCAAGGAATGGGGTAAGAGAAATAAAGTTAGTGTTAAAAACATTCCTAGAGGCTGACTGGGTAGAGAGGTCAGGAAAACTGGGATTATCGGAAAGATTTCATTTTAGGCATGCATTTCAGAATGCAAGTCCCTTGTTCAAATAGATTTCCATCAAGCTCCTTTAAGGATGAGTACAGTTTTAAATTTCCAGTTGTCTTGCACCCATATTTGTCCATGAATGGACAGATTCTTTGGGAAATCCAAACTGAACAGAGAAATTGCAGTCTAACCAGTGTTTTAAGACTTCTGTCAATTCAGGCAGAGCAAAATATGTCTGTGGTTGAACTGTAGCATATTTGATCAGGTCCAACAAGGAGTGATGTTCAAACACAGATTTCTACTCTACCTGTCTGACAGAGGACCCTCTAATTTTAAAGACATTTGAAGTCCATCAATTCTTCACTATTGTCCTCACCAATGATTCAATTTTTTTTTAAAGTTGAGTAAATTATGGCATCGCAGTGCAGCCCAACACTTCTGAGTTAAGCAGGTTTATGTGGCCCTCATTACCAGCAGGGGCCATCCAAGAGTAATATTTAGTTATGTTGTAACCAAAATGATTTTAGGGATTTCGTTTTGGCATCAACATGTATAACCTAGACCATTGGATGGACACAAAGCACCAACTAGTGGCAGGTTCCTGAACACATCTTAAGTCCTAACCCTTCTAAATAAACAAATTCTCCTGACAAAACCAAATAAAATAATGTTTCTTGTGTTGACTCTTGTTGATTCATGTATTATATACCTTGCTACTGTTGGCTCATACAGATGCATTTTGGAAATAGTGTGTTTACTTATTTATTGTATAATCTCCCGTCTACTCCTGATTCTCCTCCTGGTTGAGTATGTCCAAAACACTGCCATTGGTGTCAAAATGAAATTTGTGCTAAATCAAGCACTTTTAAGGCCAGTTTTCAAGAATTTCCAGTACTTTACACTGGTTACAATATAAACCCATTTGGACGTACTTCAAAATGGTTATTTTACTTCTGCGTCTAATAGAACATTTGTTACAGTGCTTTAATCAATTTTAGTTACAATTTCAAGCACTTTCAATAACAATCTGAAATATTCAAGCATAGCACTGACTAAAGTGAAGTCATTTTAAATTAATCAAAATTTTTGTCTGACAGGCCACCTCGATCCCCAGTCTAAAAAAATCCAGTTTCTACATTGATAATTTTTAAATTCTGATATGAGGATATATCAATATATGTTGTGCCTAAAATCTTAAGCTTTCCCTATGCCAAATAATACATATGATGGTGTGTGCAAAAGTACAATTGTATAGAAAACATAATTGCGAATAAAATGGAAAAATTTTGCCACAAAAACAAGGTTGCTGGAATTTTCCTAATGTTTATTTGAAGTTTTAGTTTAAAAACAATAGTTATTGAAGTTTGACGGACCAAACTCTCTAAAACCAATGCTGGGTCTACTTTAAAAACACTGATGAATTATTATAAAATCACCTTGAGAATTAGCGTGAGGAGGGCAGCACTGATGGCTAGTGGCAGCAAACTGGACACTTCCCAGCTAAGCCAATAGATGGAGCTCCGGAGACCCATGATCCTCACCGTCTCCTTCAGCCTTGCTTCTTTCTCAGCAACAATACCTTTAACAATCATGGCCACCGAGTAGATCCAGGCTAAAGTCATGTACAAGGGCAGGGAGCTTGCCAGCGAGCGGAGGAATCTGGAATTTGGAGGAGCCACACCAGAAAATGTACAATAACCTGAATTTACTAATGGATATGACTTTTGCCTTTATGTTTGAAGGTAAAGAACTCCCGCTTAAGTACAATTACTGCTTTTACATCAAATGATGGGTCAGAAATAAATGAACAAAAAATATCTTCTAGACGTCTATAAATAAAAGAATAATGTATCTGGTAATTGCTTGCGTCTGTAGCCTTTGATGTAATGGACATAATGCATAATGATTCATTCAGTATAAAAGGACAAATTGAAAACTGCATTTCTAGGTAGAGAAATTACATTTCACCAAGGGGGGGACTCTTGTTATAAAAAGTGTCTGGTTGAGAAAGGTCAGTGCTTGAGACTGATAACTTGTTAGACGTATAAGACACAGGAGGGGCTCCTGCAGCAGTCTATCACACATATGTCAAACAAAGTTCCTTTTTTCTTTGAAGCTTGCAACAAGTTTGCTGCTAAAGGTTTTCATTACAGGGCCCTGTCATTTTTGCCAGGAGAAGAGTCAATGTGAAGCATTTTGTCCAAGTGTGTGGGATGATCATTGTTCAGAGGGAGGAAGGGTAGTGTGTGTGTGTGTGTGTGTGGGGGGGGGGGGGGGGGGGGGGGTTGCAATTGTTCAGTGGGACTAACGCAAGCAGAAAGGTCTTCTAAATTTGTCATGCCCTTGACAAGACGCATTGCCTATTGGTTTTTAAATACTTGCGTGTGATGCGAACACTGACAGAATCTGTATGAAGGAGGCAAATGAATATCAGTAATAACCATCCTCAAGCGCACTAATACTGAAACTAAATAATAAACATCCATGTAAGTAGTTGATGTATTTGCAAAAAAAATTTCCAAGATCACTCCATTTTCAGGTTCATTTTAGACATGAAAATGAAGCTTGTTTACAACCAGGTTTATATATGTTTCCTTCTAAAAGGCTCAAGACATTTTGTTAGCCAAAGTACGCACTTTTTTTCTAAACCAGTGACGTTTTTAAAACAAGAGGAAGTTATCTTCTAGCCAGCTGGTGATAGCTGAAATACACTCTAGTGATTCAGACAGTGTATAGAATTCAGAATCCTTAAAAGAGCAGTACAACTGAATGTCATTTGCATATAGGTGATAAGAAACATTATTAAAAGAATCAGTTATCTGTCCAAGAGGGTGTATGTACAGTAGAAACAACTGTGGACCCACAGAGCTTTGGGGGTACCCCACAAAACAGATTGGTAGAATCTGACATGATTTGGTTAATACAGACACTAACTTCTGTTAGAAAGGTACAATCTAAACCAGTCTAGAGCAGTTCCAGAGATCCACACCGAGCCAGGAAGTCTGTTAATTAAGGTGATGTGATCAATGGTGTCAAAAGCTGCAGAAAGCCCTAACAGTACTAAGACTTCAAACCCCCCGCTGTCAGCAGCCATCATGATGTCACTGGAAACTTTAAGCATGTCATGTTCTGTGTCCTTTTGGTCCCCAGTCCCCCTCCCGGTTTCCCTCTAGGTGGCCCCTCGTGTTCTGTGTCCTTGTAGTCCACAGCCCTTTTTGTCCCCAGCTCCCTCCAGGTTTCCCTCATGTTCTCCTAGTCTCTCCACTGTAGTTCTCTACAGGTTTATAAGTTCAGTTCTTTGGTCTCCTTTAGTGTGTGTGTTTCCCTTCCTCACCTAGATCGTTCGTTTACGTATTTTTAGATTTCCCTGTGTTCTACAGCGTTTAAGTTTAATTTTGAGTTATTTTAGTAGCTTTGGTTTACAGGATTTAGATATGGCTTTCTCTCCTGCTTATTTCTGCTTCTTCCCTCAGTTCAGTAGTTTCACCTGTGCCCAATTCCCCACCCACCTGCTCCTCGTCTCTGAAGCGGAAATCCACATTTTATATCCTCAGGTTAACTTTGTTTGCATTTACATGTGGTTTCTTTCACACTTAGCAGAAAAAAGGGGGAATTTAAAACTGACCTATAATCATATAAATTCCAAGGTACTATTTTTCGAACATCTGGCTAACTCCTACATTTTCTCCCAGGAACGTAAATTGTAGCAACTGACTTGTTAAGCCGGACAATATCAGGACTTGGTCTGTCTTACCTCAACCTGCCAATAACTGACTCTCCCCCAAGGCCGGGTGCTCGTAAAATTTCTCAAGGGTCATTCTGGAAGATTCCAGGATCTCGCCTTTATCAAAGCCTTGGTATTTTTCTGTTTATCTATAATCAAAGAAGGTGTTTAGGTTGTTTACCCTTAAAATAGAAATCAAGGTGCTCCAAGTTAAAATCTTATCAGCCACGGACCTAAACTGTTTGTTTTGTGTTTCCTTTCATGTGAAACTTCTGCCATCGTATTGTGTTGCGCCAGTTCAAAACCATGCTAAAAGTGATACAGTCAAGCTTAAGATCTGAAGTTAATTCTTTCCCATTGAAAGTAATACTTTGATGCTAAAGTAATACTTTTTGAGACTTTAAATGAATAACTGTGTTAAATTGTGATCATGGACTGTCCATCTTTGAGAAGTTAGTTTACTTGAAAGAGCCACAGTGCCATCAAGTGGTTAATGAGTGAAATACATGTGGGTGTGACCAAGACGTTATAAAAACCAGGGTTCAGACCTTGTGTGGCAGGAGAAAAAAAGAGTAAAGACTGCCTGAAGGACAAACCCCCTGCGGGCTGTTTCCATCTGGGCCCAGCAGATCCCGGCGCTTTACAGTTGTCAAGTAATTAGCTCTCAAAAGTTACGATAAAACTTAGAAGCAACTCCGTTTGTTTTGTTTTGACTTTCTATGTGAAACCGGAAGTCTGCGTGGCGGTCGAGTTTTCATATTAAGAGTAAGAGCAATTTGGAACAGTTTGATGATTCGGCTTCGTCTGGGATAATTTGGGCCCGTGATCTGAATTCCACCTTCCGAGGCTGCTGAAGTGAAGGAACCTTGAGTCAAGCCACTACGGGAGAACACATCCTTCTATACACCACAGACATCGTTGACCTAAGCGGAGGTGCCAAAAAGTCCTACAGCGCCTGAAGGCTTCATTCAAGCTTCTGGACTGGCTGAACCAGCCCACAGGACACCTCTTTGGTGACGGAAAAAGGTCTGTGAAGCATCTCATCTGGCTGACTTTTGTGCTAAGCCCGATTAGTGAATTCAGATTAGTCCATTTCTTTATGGCATGTTTTTATTTCGATCCCAGATTCACGTTAGCCTTCAAGACCCCCTTCCTTCATCTGCCATAACGAGCTACCCGAACACACACACA